TGTTAATTCTTTCAAAGAACCAGCTCCCAGTTTCATTGATCTGTTCTACTGTTCTTTTGGTTTCTATTTCATTGATTTCTGCTCTGATTTTTATGATTTCTCTTCTCCTGCTGGGTTTAGGCTTTATTTGCTGTTCTTTTCTCCAGCTCCTTTAGGTGTAAGGTTAGGTTGTGTACTTGAGACCTTTCTTGTTTCTTGAGAAAGGCTTGTATTGCTATATACTTTCCTCCTAGGACTGCCTTTGCTGCATCCCAAAGATTTTGAACACTTGTGTTTTCATTTTCATTGGTTTCCATGAAGTTTTTTAATTCTTCTTTAATTTCCTGGTTGACCCATTCATTCTTTAGTAGGATGCTCTTTAGCCTCCATGTATTTGAGTTCTTTCCGACTTTCCGCTTGTGATTGAGTTCTAGTTTCAAAGCATTGTGGTCTGAAAATAGGCAGGGAATGATCCCAATCTTTTGGTACCAGTTGAGACCTGATTTATGACCTAGGATGTGATCGATTCTGGAGAATGTTCTGTGGGCACTAGAGAAGAATGTGTATTCCATTGCTTTGGGATGGAATGTTCTGAATATGTCTGTGAAGTCCATTTGGTCTAGTGTGTCATTTAAAGTCTTTATTTCCTTGTTGATCTTTTGCTTAGATGATCTGTCCATTTCAGTAGAGGGGTGTTAAAGTCCCCCACTATTATTGTATTGTTGTCGATGTGTTTCTTTGCTTTTGTTATTAATTGCCTTATATAATTGGCTGCTCCCACGTTAGGGGCATAGATATTTACAATTGTTAGATCTTCTTGTTGGATAGACCCTTTAAGTAGGATATAATGTCCTTCCTCATCTCTTATTACAGTCTTTTGTTTAAAATCTAATTTGTCTGATATAAGGATTGCCACCCCAGCTTTCTTTTGGTGTCCATTAGCATGGTAAATGGTTTTCCACCCCCTCACTTTCAATCTGGGGGTGTCTTTGGGTCTAAAATGAGTCTCTTGCAGACAGCATATCGATGGGTCTTGTTTTTTTATCCAATCTGATAGCCTGTGTCTTCTGATTGGGGCATTTAGCCCATTTACATTCAGGGTAACTACTGAAAGATAGGAATTTAGTGCCCTTGTATTGCCTGTAAGGTGACTGTTACTGTATATTGTCTGTGTTACTTTCTGGTCTATGTTGCTTTTAGGCTCTCTCTTTGCTTAGAGGACCCCTTTCAAGATTTCTTGTAGGGCTGGTTTCATGTTTGCAAATTCCTTTAGTTTTTGTTTGTCCTGGAAGCTTTTTATCTCTCCTTCTATTTTCAATGACAGCCTAGCTGGATATAGTATTCTTGGCTGCATATTTTTCTCATGTAGTGCTCTGAATATATACTGCCAGTCCTTTCTGGCCTGCCAGGTCTCTGTGGATAGGTCTGTTGCCAATCTAATGTTTTTACTCTTGTAGGTTACAGATCTCTTCTCCCAAGCTGCTTTCAGGATTTTCTCTTTGTCTCTGAGACTTGTAAGTTTTACTATTAGATGTTGTGGTGTTGACCTATTTTTATTGATTTTGAGAGAGGTTGTCTGTGCTTCCTGAATTTTGATGCCTGTTTCCTTCCCCAAATTAGGGAAGTTCTCTGCTATAATTTGCTCCAATATACCTTCTGCCCCTCTCTCTCTTTCTTCTTCTGGGATCCCAATTATTCTAATGTTGTTTCGTCTTATGGTATCACTTATTTCTCGAATTCTGCCCTCGTGATCCAGTAGTTGTTTATCTTTTTCTCAGCTTCTTTATTTTACATCATTTGGTCTTCTATATCACTGATTCTCTCTTCTGCCTCATATATCCTAGCAGTTTGCACCCCCATTTTTTATTGCACCTCATTAATAGCCTTTTTGATTTCGACTTGGTTAGATTTTAGTTCTTTTATTTCTCCAGAAAGTATTTCTCTAATAAGTTTCCATGCTTTTTTCAAGCCCAGCTAGTATCTTTAAAGTGATTATTCTGAACTCTAGATCCGACATCATACTAATGTCAGTATTGAGTAGGTCCCTGGCAGTCGGTAGTACCTCTTGTTCTTTTTGTTGAGGTGATTTTTTCCATCTTGTCATTTTGTCCAGAGGAGAATAGATTAATGAGAGAACAAAATGCTAACAGGGTAACAATGTCCCCAGAAAATATACTCTAAACAAATCAGAAAAGACCTGAAGCTGGGGGAAAAGAAAGGGAAAGAAAGAAAAAAGAAAAAGAAGAAAACGAAAAAGATAAAAACAAACAAAAACAGAACAAAAGAAAAAAAAAAACAGAATATGATCAAATAGGATCAGGCTGGTGCATAGATCAGTGCCACACGCTAGATTTTGGGTGTATTTTGGTCTGTTAGAAGAAAGTGCCTCCCAAAATTTTAAAGAAAGAAAAACTTACATATGTCCAAAAATAAGGGTTGTTATGATGAAGGGATGGAATATGACTGTAAAGATGAAAATTATAAAAAATTTTATAAATGGAATTGATAAGAAGTTGTTTGAAATAAGAAAGAAGAGGATTTTTTAAAAAAAAAGGAAAAAAAAGGGAGAGAATGTGATCAGGCAGGAGAGTAGAAAAAAAACATACACTAGAGATTTAGGGTATATTTTGATCTGTTAGAAGAAACTATCTCAAAATTTTCAAGAGAGAACAACTTATATATATATATATATATATATATGCCAAAAATAAGGGTAACTACTATGAAGGGATAGAATATGACTCTAAAAATGAAAAATAAAAATGTTTTTTAAAAAAGGGATTGATAAGATGTTGGTTGAAAAAGGGAAAAAGAAAAATTCAAAAAAAAAAAAAGACAGTTAAAAAAATTAACTTTGAAAGACTAAAGAATCATGGTAAAAAAAGCCATGAATTCTATGTGCAGTATTCCCCTAGCGCTGGAGTTCTGCCGTTCTCATTGATCGGTAAACTTGGTCTTGGCTGGCTGTTCTCGCTCATCTTCTGGGGAGGGGCCTGTTGCCGTGGTTTCCAAATGTCTCTGCCGGAGGCGGAATTGCCCCGCCCTTGCCCCCTCCCGGCTAAGTAATCTGCTCGGGTTTGCTCTCCAGGGCTTTTGTTCCCTGCGAGCTTTCCGTACAGCTTTGGAGGCGGAGAGTGAAAATGGCGGCCTCCCTATTCCCACCCCGGAGGAGCCGAGAACTCGGGGCCCCGCTCCTCGTGAGCCCCCAGAGAAAAGCCGTCAGTCACTCCCGTCTCCCCGGTCTCCGGCTGCACTCCGTGCTCACCCGGCCTGTGACCGCGCGTTTCTCTCTCTGGCACCCGACCCCGGGTGGAGTCTCCAAACCCAGCAGATCCCTGCGGTGCACTCCCGCGCGGCTCCTCCCGGGGGAGGAAGGTGAGTCTCCCCGGATCTGCCACTTGTTGGGTCCCTGCTGGAGGAGCAGGGGCCCGACTGTGCCGCGGATCACGGTTCATGGCCACCCCGAGCTGAGAGCCCGCGCCTGGGCTCCGCCTCTGCAGCCGGCTTCCCTGCTCCGTTACCTGGGAGCTCTGCCGCACTCAGGCACCCCCGGTCTTTCTGTGACCCCGAGGGTCCTGAGACCACACTGTCCCGGAGGGTTCCACCCCCCGCTTAGCCACCAGAGTGACGTCCCTCAGCGGAGCAGACTTTTAAAAGTTCCGATTTTGTGCTCCGTGGTTCTATCACTTGCCAGAAGCGGCCGACGGAGGCCCCTCCCCCGCCGTCTATCCTCCTGAATATCGCCTCGGATTCACTTCTCCGCAAGTCCTACCTTCCAGAAAGTGGTCGCTTTTCTGTTCAGAGAGTTGTTGCTCTTCTTTTCTTCGCTCTCCTATTGAGTTTGTAGGTGTTCAGAATGGTCTGATCCCTATCCAGCTGAATTCCTGAGAGGAGACGAAATCCAGGTCTCCTACTCCTCGGCCATCTTGCTCTGCCCCCCAACCAATTAATCTTAAACCTTTAAACTGGATATGCCCCAAAAGGTGCTTAAAGAATCATCTAGTTCATTTATTTCTAAGGTGTTGTCTTTGAATAAATAAATAAAGTGTTGTATTTGAATAATTTTGATTTGGGTGTCTGTTTTTGTTTCAGTTGTTATTGCCTGAAATACAAGAGCTATTTAAATATCTGAGATAGGGGCGCCTGGGTGGCTCAGTCGTTAAGCATCTGCCTTTGGCTCAGGTCATGAAACCAGGGTCCTGGGATCGAGCCCTGCATCGGGCTCCCTGCTCAGTGGGAACCCTGCTTCTCCCTCTCCCAGTCCCCCTGCTTGTGTTTCCTCTCTCACTGTGTCTCTCTCTGTCAAATAAATGCAATCTTTAAAAATAAATAAATAAATATCTGAGATACATTTTGGTTCCAAAATTTAAAGTCATCACCTTCAACATTTCAGGCTCTCTCTGTTACACCCATGATACACATCCTAGTCTTTTCTGCCAATGTCTATTAAAAGTGCTAAAAGATTGGGCACCTGGGTGGCTCAGTTGGTTAAGCGACTGCCTTCGGCTCAGGTCATGATCCTGGAGTCCCGGGATCGAGTCCCGCATCAGGCTCCCTGCTTGGCAGGGAGTCTGCTTCTCCCTCTGACCCTCCTCCCTCTCATGCTCTCTGTCTCTCATTCTCTCTCTCTCAAATAAATAAATAAAATCTTAAAAAAAAAAAAGTGCTAAAAGATTAAGAGAAGGAGATCTATAAGCTCCCACCAGATTTATTCTATCACAGTATTCTGTGTTGCTCTGAAGGTCTTTTAAAACATTCTTTCTTACATATTTATTCTTATAGTTTTCATAAGTGAAATTTCCATTTAGTTTGAAGTAAACTCCCATACATGGGGCAATTCAAAATAGAAAATTAAAATGGGAAACAATAATACTCAAAAGTATCCACTATAATAATAATTCCTTGAGTGTACACAGTGCTTTGAACATTTTTGAGGTTCCTACTCAGTCATTCAGCATGATCTGGCCAGTCAGATCCATAGACAGAGGCGAGTTATCACCGATCATGAAGCCATGACTTACCTATGCTTACGCCCATATTGCTTTTTTCAAAACCTGCAGAAGGAAGCGTGTTTTCAAGGTAGCCAAACTGGGGAGGGGAAGCCAAAACAAACTCCAAGTCGTCTGCTGCAGTGTCAGGATCAGTGGCGGACAAATGGTTAATGGTAATGGCTGCAGAGAAACCCTCATCTACCACGAACATGGTACCTGCATGCAAACAACAACGCAATTATGACTTAGCGTGAAATCCTCTAATCAGAATAGTGAAGACAAAAGGGAGTGATTGCAATTCCAATTCAGAGAAGCCTCCCATATGCAAATATACTTCCATGAGAGATGTTCATTTCCTTTGGCATAATTTCTCCTTACAGTGAAAATATTCAGGGGTAATGGGTGGAATTTAATTTGACTTGTGGAATTATATTTTTTTTCTTGTACAAGCAAGCCAGACAATAATGGAAAGACAGCAGAAATACTAAATGCTCTAGCACAGCCCTTTAGTCATTCTCAAGGAACTCTGATTTCCCTTGTGTCTCTATAGAAGTGACAAATGAAAATAAGAATTGCCAAACTGTTTTAATGATAAGCCACTAAATGTAGTTTATGTACTTTTCAGGATCAGTTGTTACCTCTGTTTGTCAGAGCGTTAATTGCCTGTGAGCTATTATGAATTGCTCATAACGAACATTTTTTCATGCCTTGGTGCTTAATTATTCTGCAGGGATAATGCTTCCTTTCCAGAACATTGCTTGGGAGATAGTTTGCAAATTACAATAACATCCATACATATGCTTCTATTTTTTTTCTAAGAGACAGAACATATACATAATGCCTATTAAGCGATGACTTTCTAAAAAGCAAATAAGGTTAAATGTATATAAATGGTCTCTCTGGTATTTTCATTCTGCTCTAATAGAAATTATTATGGATAAAATAAATTACTCTCTCTCTCCAGCAGGAAAATGATATTTTCCCACATGAAATAAAACCAGAATATTTGAGGATTCCAATGTTGTCCTCATCCCAACACACACACACTCATCACTTGCAAACACACTTGCATTCTCTCTCCATACAGAATTACCCACATTTTTAAACCAATAAATTCTTTTGCCTTGTAATCTTTTATAAATATGGAGTTTTCCACAAGTCGTGTGGAGGCAATTCTCGCAGGCAATTCTGTATGGTAGTTTTCCATTTTAACTATAATTCAAGTGCATTATTTCACTAACCCACAGGTATGACACGAGATGAGATAATGGAACTGTAATAGAAAAAAACATTGTCACCTATTGCAATTGAAGGTGATTGGTTGTCCACTGGATGTACCGTGATATTGAGGTCATACACTGGAAAGGACTCATGAAGAGGAACAGATGGATGAGGCCCGTTGTAGCAACAGCCATTCACGGAAGGGCCAGCTTCTCCATCCGAAACCACCAATGTAATGGTATCAAAACAAGGCACCAGGCCAATCTCACCACCTGGAAGATACAGCTATAGCTGAAACCTGACTTTTTAAAAATACAGAATACTAAGATGAAATCTACCTGCACCTCTTCTGTAAGCAAGAGCGGCGAGGAAAGGATCTTAGGTGGCTAACATGTAAAACTCAGTTTGATCACTATGGAAGGAAACAGTCATGAAAATAATGACAAAATGCTTGCCCATCTGTTGCCCCTGGTGAAATCCTTGACAGCCATCTCTCACCATATGGAGGGGCAAAAGGGGCTAACAAGGGTCTGACAGTTCACAAATGAACAAGGAAGAGACAAAGCTTGACTAGTGATGGTTTCATTCTTCCTGCCTCATTGTTTAGTGTTAGGACCAACCTCAGGGAGAGCAGAAGGCACCCTTGTCCTTCCAACTGCATTGTCTTCCCATTTACATTAACTACCTTAAATGAACAACCATCAACCACACCACCACAGTGAGGAGAAACAGAAGAAGCTGGGGAGGTGAAATAGAAAGACGAGCCACATTTTTGTCATTCGTTTCAATATTTTCCTCGTTATATAATAGCCAATGTTAGCAAAATAGCAACAGGACATGGGGAAAGAGTGGCATTTATTTTTGTTCTCCTTTCACTCTTTAGGGCTATGCATATGGGATTTAATATGGCCCCAACTGAAGCAATGAGAAGAAGAAGGAAAAAAATGTCAGATTAGACAGTTTATCAGCAACCTTGGGTTACTAACAGCACGGAGGTAGGTCCACTATCCAGAGGACATAAAAGCTGTGCAGATGTGCTTTTGGTAATTCTCATGCATCATCTTGAAAGCACCAAGAGGGAAGCAATTTTGTTTGAGTTTTGATGAGACAAGAGCACAAAAGATCAGGGAAGTCATCTCTTTTCACAAGACACGTTGGTCAAATGTACACAGTACTGTGCTTGGTATTATTCTACCCACTTAAGGACAAGGAAAATCAAGAGATGATATAACTGAGCAGTCAAATGATTGAAGAATGAGAAAACTGGGCTCTTAAGAAAAAATAAAGTTGACGTGGAGAGAATTAGAATTAAATAATCAGCCTTTAACTTTAGGAGCAGTAAAAAATAAGACGCCTCTTATCTATTCCTATTTATAAAAAATAAATTGGCATAAAGCTCATTTATTCCTCATTCACTTGATAAATATATATTATTTAATGGCTCCTACGTGATCATTAGTGTTCTGGGTGCTCCAGCAGAGAATCAGGCAGACATTATGAAAGCGTCAACAGACAGTTCAAAAGAATGTCAAATGCCAAAAGACCTATTATGTGTCAGGCACTGACACAATCTAATGGCCGAGGAATAAACGCAGTTTGGTTAGAATATCACAGTTGGGTGTATGTACTAAGAGAAACCATATGGAACTGCCACCATTAAGTCATTATTTTACCAGTTAAATGGAAAATTCATATATCTCAGCCTGAATATGTACAAGGGGCTGAGGGTGAAGAAAGATAAAACGTTTTGGCGGAGAGGGGCATGGGGGCAGGGCACACAAGGCAGAGAGAGTCAGAGAAGCCTTTCCAGATGTCTCTGCTTGCTTTACACTGAGCATTAAATGATGAGTAGTTTACCAGGCAGATGAGGCAGAGAACTGGGATGGAGGAAGGAGGACCTGCGCGGAGAGGGAGCCAAGAAGAGAAATGGAAAAATCATTCCAGGAAGAGTAGACAGCTTTTTTAAAGGAAAAAAAAAAAAAAGCAAACATAGTATCTTCTGTAACTATAATTTTAATATAATGGAAGCGTTACATTTACAGAAAAGCTGGAAAACCCGGCTGAACATCTAGTCACAAAAAAGCCTACAACATGGGCGGAGAATTCTCTACCTTGAATGGAGCAGGTCTAAGGATATGATTTATACTTAAAACTGTTAACCACAGGGCGGCTGGGTGGCTCAGTTGGTTAAGCGACTGCCTTCGGCTCAGGTCATGATCCTGGAGTCCCGGGATCGAGTCCCGCATTGGGCTCCCTGCTGGGCAGGGAGTCTGCTTCTCCCTCTGACCCTCCTCCCTCTCATGCTCTCTGTCTCTCATTCTCTCTCTCTCAAATAAATAAATAAAATCTTAAAAAAAAAAAACTGTTAACCACAGCATTGTTTTACAAAGTTTTTTTGAATGACTTCATGCTTAATGGGGAGAAGAGCAGGTTAATAACGTCATTTTACATCATAAAATATTATTTGATTTTTAAAACTTACATTTACAATAACTTTGTAACATTTAACAACTAATCAACGTTTTAGCTGATAATCTCAATGAAAAAAGTAATCAACAAAACTGCACATACAACATGATCGACAACTATGTAAAAAAATATGATTAGAAGAAAGAATACAGGGGCACCTGCGTGGCTCAGTCAGTTAAGCATCTGCCTTCGGCTCAGGTCATGATCCTGGAGTCCCAGGATCAAGCCCCACGTCGGGCTCCCTGCTCAGCAGGGAGTCTGCTTGTTCCTCTCCCTTTTCTCTCCACAACCCCCCACCTCATGTTCTCTCTCTCTCTCTCCCTCACTCACTCTCTCTCTCTCAAATAAATAAATAAATGTTTTTTTAAAAAATGAAGGAAAAGGGGTGCCTGGGTGGCTCAGTCGTTAAGCGTCTGCCTTCGGCTCAGGTCATGGTCCCAGGGTCCTGGGATCGAGCCCCACGTCGGGCTCCCTGCTCGGCGGGGAGCCTGCTTCTCCCTCTCCCACTCCCCCTGCTGTGTTCCCGCTCTCGCTGTGTCTCTCTCTGTCAAATGAATAAATAAAATCTTTAAAAAAAAAAAAAATGAAGGAAAAGTACTATAATACTGAAATGTTAAGAGTGACCATTTTTGAGAGGTAAGTAGGTGATTTTTCAAAATTTCATTATGCTTTCCACACTTTCCAAGTTTTTTTCTCTTTTGAAATGGGCAGGTAGTTTTATTTTTATCATCATGGAAAGCAACTAAAATAATGGTGGCAAAATTATCCTCAGGTGGCCTTTATAATCAACAGACAGAGGCAAGAGCAGAGCCATTGAAACTTCGGGTCTTGTAGTACTGTGATTCTTTATACTCTCTCCCACACAGTGCTAAAAAACTACCAATTGAGTCATTGGGAGAATGTTACCAGGAAACCTATCATTCAAATAACAAACCATCTTTCGAATTGGCAGTGTTTCTGCTAATTTAGTAACACAACAACAACAATAAAATACCCATCTATCTGAAGTAATTTGCCTCATGTCCTACTAGGTCTTATAAAAAAAAAAATGAGTTCACACTTCCTCACGTGGCTATCACACCAAAGGGATTTATAAAGATGTACACCTGTTGTTTAGCACTTGGAGCAAGGCACTGGCAGAGGAGACAGCTTAATCTCACCCCTAATGTATCTATGCTGCATTAGCCCGCCCCAGATGTGAAAATTATGTAAAAACCCACAGACCAATAGTCGTTGGGCTGTGGCCCCTTTTCTGCTAGTCTGAGATCTATTGCGGAAATCAAAATGAAGCACCTAGATGTGGACTCTTGAGGGACATCGAGCAGGTGGACTCTGCCCCCCAGGCCAGGAAAATCAGCAATAAAACCCTTCCTAAGACTAAACACACTTAAGAAGATAAGGAGATACCATTTTCATAAAAAAAGATGTCCGGCGGAGTGATTAAAATGTGCCCTACTAATTGACCGTAAAACAACTGGTATCCTAATAAATCATCATTTTCCAAAGTACATATAAAAATGCTATTTCACAATATCTCCCCCACCCCTGTTTCTAAATTCATCCTTCACTATCTCAATCCCCCCACCCTGGGATCCCTCTCCCACTTGCTGCTTGTATTCTCCCTGTGTTCTCAAATAAGAAAGTGATTTGAATTTTGATACCTCTTATTCCCTGCACCCTCACCTGGCCTTCTATACCCCATCCTGCTTCCCACGGAATCTACAGATGAGAGCGGCATATGGATGAGGACACATGAAATTATAATTGAGTAGCAATAAAAGGGAGTTAGGGAAGTATACAGTATTATTACTGAGGAAGTGCACTCAAACCAGAGATCAGAAGATGTGCAAGGGGCAATGATCGATGAGGTACTGATATGGGACACTGTCCTCTTTGCATGTGAAGGGGTCCATCTACCCATTTACATTAAAAGTCCTTCACAGCTGAGTCTGGATTGTATTCCTCTGCAGCCCACAATGCCCAGTACTCTCTCTTGCAGATAACAGATGTTGAATTAATATTTTCCTTATTTGAACATTTTACATGGGGAACAAATGCCATTTGGGTAACAATATAATGTGATTTCAGAAATGAAAGAATGAAGCTAATAAACAAGCGTTTACTGTATCGCTAATCTGTGTCCACCGCTGACTATTGCTGTGGGCATTACACAAAACATAAGATATCACCTTTGCTTTTCAGGAACTCAATAAAGGCAGACAGGTTACTTCTTAGGAGCTAGCTGGTGATTAAGTAAACTTTTTTTTTTTTTATTAAGTAATCTCTGTACCCAACATGGGGCTCAAACTCATGACCCCAAGAACAAGAGTCATGTGCTCTACCAACTGAGCCAGTCAAGTGCCCCTTAAAATTAATATTATAATTATCATAGGGTGCTTACTTCAGGCATTTCTGCTATGATGTATGGATCCCAAAGCTGTGATGGTCAAATAAAGTCTTCTTCAAACTGACCAAAAAGGAATGCAGACAACCCAGGGTGAATTAAAGGTCTAAGGGGGAAGCATCGGAAACAAAGCAGCAATAATACGTGCTCCTTCTCCATTCTGAAATTCATTACATTACTGAGATCAGAAATCCTTCTAAATATGGTGATTATACTTACAAAAGGGGATACAGACTGCTGCTTCTGCTGCTTTTTTTTTAAAGGAAGCAAGCATTAAGACTGTTCGATTATCCGAGTGCCCAGCAAGGAGTGGGGTTACGACTCTGTGGTGGTGCCTGCATCCGCTCACTCACACTGGTCACCATGTGATCACTCACCTGTGTGTTTGTATGTCACAGCCCCTGAGATGACATCTCCCTGAGAGAACTGATCCACTGTGACTCCAGCTTTCCTCACCACGCCATGCTGAGGCTCTCGAGCGATCACAAACATCAGCTTCAAGTCATCACTGTCCACATCAGTAGCCAAAATGTATTCAGAGGTGATGACCACCTCTTCGCCCTCTGAGCAATGCATCATGGGGATGAGGTCAGCCTTTAGGATTGGTGGCTCATCATTTACAGGGAACACCTAGGGGGAAAAATGCATGTTTTCAAGAAAAAAGAAAGCAATGACAAATTGCCCAACTGGTAAACCATAGCTCATCATTGGAATGACAGGCATTTTCGATCTTCCAGACACAAGAAACAATAGCCATGGAATTTGGCCAAGCAGGCTGTATCTTCTCCCCATATGAACCATCTTGTTCTAAGAAATGGCCAACATGAGAGACATTTGAGGTAGGAATGGAAGAGTATGGTTATGGTTTGGGACTCAAAGCTCTCATTTGTTTCTAGAGAGACAAAATATAAATGTAATACAAAGCAGTCTTCACACTGAAGTCCCTATCCTCCTTCGTTATATTCACACATATTCCAGAGGAAATCTGGTCCTTGTGGTCTGATGCATTTATATTTACCACACCAGAGTTATTTATATTTCAAATTATTTGGTGATTACAAAGCTTTCATCGACCCTCAACTTCCTGCCACCCAGGAAGTTTCTCCAAACTTACAATAAGCAGCAGCTTATTTCGAACATTTTGAGTTACCTCTGAAACTCTATAACCATTAAATCAATCCCAGGCTTCAACTTGACAAAACATTTTTCTCTCATTGTCATGAAAATAAAGCTCTAAGTAGAAAGGGAAAAAAGAGCAATATGGGTCCACCCTGGCTCTCCGAATCTAACAGGATGATGCAGACACTTGAAAAGGCAAGTCTTTTATTGTTTTTTAATCTTTAAAAAAGATTTATTTATTTATTTGAGAAAGAGAGAGAGAGAACGCAAGCAGGGGGAAGGGCAGAGGTGGTCACGCAACAGAGGGAGAGGGAATCCCAAGCAGACTCCACACGGAGTGTGGGGCTCAATCTCACGACCCTGAGATCCTGACCTGAGCTGAAATCAAGAGTTGGGGGCTGAACCAACTGAGCCACCCAGGTGCCCCCAAAAGGCAAGTCTTTTATTTATTTATTTTTTTTTTTAAAGATTTTATTTATTTATTTGAGAGAGAGAGAATGAGATACAGAGAGCATGAGAGGGAGGAGGGTCAGAGGGAGAAGCAGACTCCCCACCGAGCAGGGAGCCCAATGCGGGACTCGATCCCGGGACTCCAGGATCATGACCTGAGCCGAAGGCAGTCGCTTAACCAACTGAGCCACCCAGGCGCCCCCTAACCCTCAGTATTTTAAAGATTTTATTTATTTATTTGAGAGAGAGCACATGAGAGGGGGGAGGGCCAGAGGGAGAAGCAGACTCCCCGCCGAGCAGGGAGCCCGATGCAGGACTCGATCCCGGGACTCCAGGGTCATGACCTGAGCCGAAGGCAGTCGCCCAACCGACTGAGCCACCCAGGCGCCCAAGGCAAGTCTTTTAAATCGGAATGAAAGACATTCTGCCTCTGAGGTCCCAGTCGCAACTTGGTGTGTGTGCTACCCGTTTAGTTATCAAGTCCGGCCTGTGGATACTCTCAACCCCACATTTCCTGCCCCCTCGCTTCAGCCACGGGGATCTTTTCAAAAAGTGGCTTTCGGAACTCTGGTTTCTCTTCAGATCATGTACCTGTTTCACCTTTTAAAGTGTGGCTTTCATCAAGTCACTGCCGTATGGGGACCTTCGGCGTCTTCCTAGAGCTGCTGCTGCAAGGATGTCTTGGGCCTCCTTCCATGCAAGAGGGTGCCCCTGCCACCCCACTGCCTTTTCACCAGAAGACACTGGGCTCCTCCCACGTCCGATCCTCGCACCATCTCTGCATGTTCTCTCTGCCCCGTGGCTCTGTAGGGTCAGCCCTCAGCTCTTGGCTCGGCTACTCTTTCCTTCAGACTACACATGCATTCTTCAGGGCAAACTTCTTTGACAACTCAGACTCATTAGGGACTTCTACCATTCACTCTCTCTTAGCACCCCACTCATTTGGAGAACACAGCCACATTTTAACTAATCAATTATTTCTGTGAGAACCTATTTAATATCTGCCTTCATCCCCTGCCTATAATCTCTAACAGAACGAGGCTTTCTTTGTCATGTTCATCATCATATCCCAAGCATCTAGCATAGGAACTGGCCTACAGAAGGCACTTTTTAAATATTTATGGAGTAAATAAATGAATGAAGATAAATATGTATATATGATCTGAATACCCTGCTATTTAAACAGGCTAACAACTCTACAACAAATATACAGGAAATTATTTTCATATTTTCCTTTAAAGGGTAGAGGGACGGGGTAATAGAAACTCAGATTTATTTATTTAATCAAAGGTAAAAACAAAAAAGAATGCCATATTCTATTCTATTTTCTATTGGCTTATTAGGAAACAGTATCTTTGTTCAAGTCCTCTGAGTGGATTCATTAAAGACCCTCTTTATCACTGTTCTTGACTCTATTTGATGAATGTCACCAATACATCCATGATAACCACCTTACAAAATACAAAAGAGCCTCAGCTTTCAAATGGATAATAAAGTCCAAAGGCAACAGAATTTAAAACATTCCTCCTGGATAGAAAACAATCACACATAATTGTCCAAAAATTACCTGTACTGCTGGTTGGCTTCCAAGGGCCATGCCCTTTTATCTAAAAAGTAACAACAAACAGACTGTTTACACAGTCAAATGATTGATTTGGGGCAAGTCATGGAAACTTCTCGAACCTGTTTTCTTGCCTATAAAATGGAGCTAATTCCTTCTCCTCTACTGCCCTGTGCCAGAGATAATTCCTTCTACTTCTTAAAAATACTAGATGGATGTAATCATTCTTTTTTTTAAAAAAAAAAGATTTTTTATTTGAGAGAGAGAGAATGAGAGAGAGCACATGAGAGGGGGGAGGGCCAGAGGGAGAAGCAGACTCCCTGCCGAGCAGGGAGCCCGATGCGGGACTCGATCCAGGGACTCCAGGATCATGACCTGAGCCGAAGGCAGTCGCTTAGCCAACTGAGCCACCCAGGCGCCCGATGTAATCATTCTTAATTATTAACCATAAAAATGTCACACAAACACATTATTATCACTAATTATAATTTCATATCACAAAGATCTGACAAAATTCAAACAGAAATAGAATTTGGCAGATAAAAGTAAGAGGAGCACAATAATTCTTTCTGCAGACCTTCCTTTGTTACTAACTATAAATACCTGCAAATCCTGTGAGTTTTTTTTACTGACTGAAGTGGTCACACAACAGAGAAGCTCAGGGGTTCCCATCAACCTTAATGTGCAGATTTTTTTCAACATTTGTCAAAAGGGGGAATGTAATCATTTCTAATAGGTCTCAGAAAGAAGTGTATAGGACAGGAACTAATAAAGGGGCACAACACACATAAAGACATGGCTTCTTCCACACAAGAGGGAAAAGCCCAGTGATGCTAGCTGCTAAATAAATATTTCAGAGTGTTACAGCTCAAAAATATTAGAATCAATTTACACACAGAACCAATTGGTTTTTAAATTAAGTATCTGGGTTTGAGGTCCGAGTGGTTTAATCTTTAAGTGGATTAGAAAGAGAAACCAGTATGCCCATTTCACCAATATAACTTTGCTGTCTATTGCCTGTCCTGAGACATTCAGACATAGCAGGTATGCTCTTGAAGTCCACATGTTTCAAGTTCTATCAGGAACTCTTAAAAGGCTTCCAAAGCAGGAGGCTCGGTGGCTCAGTTGGTTGAGTGTCCAATTCTTGATTTCAGCTCAGGTCTTGATCTCAGGGTCGTGGGATCGAGCCCCACAACAGGCTCTGCACTGAGCGTGGAGCCTGCTTAAGATTCTCTCCCTCTCCCTCTGCCCGTCCCCACCCCACTTACATGCTCTCTCTCCCTCTCTCTCTCTCATTCTCAAAAAAAAAAAAAAGGCTTCCAAACCAGATGCTTTATTTCTATATGAACAAGGGAGGAAACTTTCTACCCACCTCAACATGTAGAACAAATTCTGCTGAATTCGTGCCATCTGTGACCTCCAAGAATATGTCATCCTGAAGTCTCTCAGATCCATCATGCTGATACCTGTGGGGATGATATTTGCCACTAGCCCCTCAAGGCCACTGTGACAGTAGATGTCTGACTCAAAAGCTCCTCCATGGCTTTGGCCACATGGTCAATAAATGAATAACAAAAAAAACATAATCATGAAGTCACATACTTAAATACTCAAGTGTCCCTGAATGTAAAAAATTTGCTCCACCCTGGAAAAATGTGTTGTATGCATTCATAATTTGTCCCTCAATCCAAAATCAGTCCTTCAAGTTGCCACTGTGGCAATGGGAACCAGTTGGTGTAGTTCTGCTTACTTATGTAACACAAGGCTGGGGCCAGGGGGTGATTGAGACAGACAGTAGACAGGTAAAAGTGGGACACTGTGAATCTTGATGAGCCCCCTCCTCCCTTACTTTTAAGTCTAATCTTTCTGCTTGTGTTTTTGATCTATTCAGCTCTTCTCTAAAACTCTGATCTATGAATTATTTATTGCCTCTCTCCTGCCATTTACCCTCTTCTTTTTACTAGTTCTCTTTCACTCAACCTATAAAGATTTTCGAATCTCTCCAGACTTAAAAATATTTTTCCTTGATTTAGCTTTGGCCCTACTTTCCTTTAATTTTCAGTCAAGTTTTATAACAGAACTGTCTAATTCAAGACTTTTCATCTACTCTCCAACACTACGTGGCAAGTTCTAAACAGCTGTTGAATTGAGCCAAATTTTTAGCTTATTGATGATTTGTTCAAGATAGGAAATAAGCCCTAGGAAATAAAATTAAAAGTTACATAAAAATAGTATATTGAGGGGCGCCTGGGTGGCTCAGTTGGTTGAGCATCCAACTCTTGGTTTTGGCTCCAGTCATGATCTCAGGGTCCTGGGATCAAGCCCTTGCTTGGGGCTCACACTCAGGGGGGAATCTGTTTGAGATTCTCTAACCCCCACCCTGCTCATGCGTTCTCTCTCTCTCAAATAAATAAATCTAAAAAAAAAAAGTATATCAAACATATATAAAACTTACATATGAAAAAATCCCGGGGCTAAAAGGTATTTTACTCAGGACTAGGCTCACCCGTACACTGGGTAGGGACTCAGGTTTGGGTTCCATTCCATTCCAGTTTGGAATCCAGAATGGGATTCCATTCCAATGGTGAAGAAGGTCCACCTCCTAACCCCAGTATCCCTCCCACACTGCCTCCTATGCTCCCTGATATTTTCATCAAAAATAGGTATGTGATAATGTACTAATCCTATCTTACCATGCTAATACCCCTAAAAGGGCCAAGTGGAATCTAGGAGTACACATCCAAAGGCATGGCTATGGAATCAAACAGAATTTTCAAAACCAGACTCCTCCACATACTGGCTGAGTGACTTCAACCTCTTAGTTTCTTCAACTATAACATGAGAATACAACCATCTACCTTGTCAGGCTTGATTACTATAAAGATTAAATGGGGGGGGGAAACATAATGGTAAGTCTATTGAAGAGTCCTTGAATTATATGCGCTGGCAGATACTAGTACTTTTTTTTCTATCCATCATTCACTCCCTAGTAAGAATTATCTAAACAGAGCTCTTGTTCTAACATGTAACTAAGAGCTGAGAACCCTAAAAAGAAGGAAATTTTAATGAGAATAGGAGTGAGTAGTGACAAAAGGTCAAGATATTGGAGACCATGAATAAACTTAACTAAACTAAATTTCAGATGAAATTGATCTTCCTATGCACATCCAAGCTCCTAGTCAACTTTCAAGTGTGGAATTAAGCATTTGATGTCTAATACCTTCTGAAAGGTCAAAATTCCCAGTTACAATTTGAACTTATAAATAATAAGTCAACTAGTATATCTGTCTACCTGATCTGTGCTTTTGAGTACCTTGCATTGCTTTACAGAGAAGGCATTTTATGAAATTCTGTAATTTTGCGGTTATAGAACTGCAGTAGGTAGAAGAAATGAAAGACCTCAAGGTGAGGGGAACTGCTGTAGGACCTTGAGAAATGAATTGCTCTCTCTCTGACTGTCAGAAAACCAAGTACTACTCCATACCTTCCCAGCCTACCCTACATGTTTGCCTACAAGTCCCTTCCCAGTAGAATGGAATAAAAATTTACATTAAAGATACTGATCAGGGGCGCCTGGGTGGCTCAGTTGTTAAGCGTCTGCCTTCGGCTCAGGTCATGATCCCGGGGTCCTGGGATTGAGCCCCACATCGGGCTCCCTGCTCCTCAGGAAGCTTTCTTCTCCCTCTCCCTCTGCATCCCCCTGCTTGTGTTCCTGCTCTCACTATCTCTCTCTGTCAAATAAATTAAAAAAATCTTTAAGAATAAATAAATAAATAGATAAATAGATAAATAAATAAATAAATAAAGATACTGATCAACAGAATTTTATCCCAGAGTTTCCACGGTTGTGAAATTGGCTGTTCTTAAAGCCAAGTTCAACTATATAGGTTAGCCATATAGATCATTTCAGTCTATATCTAGTTTGGCTACTATCTCTTGTGATATGTACAGTTGCAGCAAATTTAATATTCACGGTAATTAATTTCTGTTGTTCAAATATCCAAAAAGTCATTCCCACTGGTACAAGCCAGATGGAAAGAAAATGTCTGGAGGGAAATTACAAATTTGTCATTTCTAATTTTCAACTGACCCTTGAAAGTATTAATTGGCATGCTGGCACCGCTGAAAAAGTTGAACAAACTTCTTTCTCTTACTCTGCCTCACAACTGATCCAGATGAAGGCCAAAGCATATCAAAAAATAAATCCAGGAAATGTTCTAACCTAACTTTTAAGGCACGGAGGTCTCCCCAAGAAAATGTGCCTCCTGTGTTTAGAGGAAATCCATCCAGCTCCACCCTTCCACACTGAGGCAATCTTTGCAGGGAGAGGCAGATGTTGTCCAGTTCGGTATCCACATCAGAAACCAGAATGTTCTCTGTGCTGATGACACATTGACCTCCCTCAGTCACTCTCAGGGCATTGGTAAACACCTAAAAAGAAGGAAGAAAACATTCGAAGTCTTGTTCCATGAACTATCCCTGAAAACTGAGCTCATTAAATAAATAGAAAACTTCTGGTACCACCTTCACATGCATGTCAATTAATTTTTTAAGGATGTGGTAAAGGGGACAAGTTCATAGCTGAACCTTTTGGCTAAAAAATATTTTTTACGAAACATTTCCAATTCTAAGCATTGAGGTATACAAAGAAGCAAGGCAGATTCATAACCGTGAAAGTATCTACGTTTCATTTACCTCAGACCCCCTTATAGTGGAAACAGCAACCAAACTAGTTCCTATTGGTGCTAAATAAAGAAAATAGTAACATCCATCATCATGTCCACACCCACCATTGCTGGATACATATATACCTTCACCTAGACAACGAACAACAATTATATCAAATTCCCCTAGAGGAAAGAATCCATCCCTTTTTTTCACCCTAAAAATTCTTAAAGATTTGGGAAATTGTTTGGAGCTTCTAAGTATCAATTATAATGAGTATTTTACAGATGGAAGTAGAGCAGAAGACTGGAGATTGAAGATTCCACAAGATATATTTTATTCAAACATCAGACAAATAATGAAGCTATAAAGATAACTTTTGATGACCGAAAAACCCACTACTCAACCAACAATTCATTTGAAAGTAAAAAGCAAGTAAGAAGGGCTTGGGATATTTTACTGTACATTGGGACTTGGCAAGACGTGTTCTGTGGTCAAATAAGGCTTGAGAACAGTCATGTACAATATCTTCACCTTGGAGATTTCTAAGGCGTGTAAGTATATTCAGCTTTCTGAGGTCCTGCAGTAGAAACATTGGTGAACTTTGTTTAGCCTATCATTCTCCCAAATTCATATTACTACACAGAAGTAAAAGCAAGCAGATAGAGTTAGGGTACCAATCATGGGCTCTGAAGGTCCCCTTGCAAAAGGTCTGAGGTGAGTGCCTCACCCATGTGAGGATACAGCATTCTTGAAGGAAGAAGCCACACTCTTCAGACCAGCTGCCACTCCCAGAAAGGAGAATGTTCCTGAGGAAAAAGCTGGGCGGGGGTGGGGGGGGTAGGAGATAGGCAGAAGAAAGGGAAGTGAGCAAGGAGAAGTCACAGTCTCCAGTCAGAGCCCTGCTCTATCCTCCTGCCCACCAGGGCGCAGCTGCCCCAAAGCAGCCCCCCTGGGTCATGGGAATTTCGAGACCAACCACCCTGAGACACTTGCCTTCTAGTCTTCAATAAACTACCTCTACTAGCAAAGGAAAACATAAAACAAGACTTCTCTTCTCTCCCTACAATGACTCTCACCCCCATCCTTCCCACATGCCTTACTCCTACATTTTTACTGTTTGTAGGAGAAAGAAAGAATATTCCTATTAAAAGAGGAGCATTATTTCTGAAACAAGGTCCATATCTGCTAGCCTCATTGATTTCCAAGTTGCATCAATTAATACCTCGAGTTGCTAATGTTCCAAGGGATATACTCTGCTATACTCTGGGGTTTTAAAATATATATGCATTTTAAGGCAGCTTTCAAAAAATAAAAGCATAAGGCTAATTTGCCCCAGCTCATTTCATCACTAACTTTTCAGTCTCTGCCCAAACCTAGTACTTAGGTTTTGGGGCTTTCCTGTGAGCATCACATTAAGATCACCTCATGGTTATTACTCAACTCAGATATCTGTGGGCATTTCATGCCAGGAAACCACTCGCGTGTCTGGTTTCACTAGAGCTACTCATTTTTTAATTTTATTTTTAATGTTCTCAGTTCTCTAAGGTATGATTTCATTTGTCCCATACAGTATAGGAAAAAGAAGCCACTATGCCACGTTAGCCCTGAGTCCTCAGAACTATTCCAGCTACCTTCAGATGAGAGAGGTAACTGTTCACTTCACCATTTCTAGTTTTCTCGTTTTCTCCACAGATCATTTTTCTCTAGCAAGACGTTTGGGTTGCGTTGCATAAAACACTACTTCTCTCCATGATTGTTTTAGAAAAAGCTTTGGCTTCTTTAGATGCTGGGCTAGTTCAGGGCATGTATCTCATACACAGAAAAGAATGGTCTGAATAAGATCTAATCAAATTAACAGACATTCTAAACTGTTTCTTCCACAGGGAATGTGATCTGGTCCCTGACAGGGAAGGACTCAAAGAATATAGTTCAGATTCTCTTGTCTTTTGTGTGAGCCCTTTGGCGCATCTTCTGCCAAAAATGGCAAGTTCCAAGGTCTGAGGGGGCAGGCCAGCGATGTAAATGAGTGTGCTCAGCTGGGTGGGGCCTTTGGAGCCTGGAGAGCAGGCCCAGGCAGCTGCTGCTGGGGGTAAGTGAGTTCACTGTTCCTAGAGTTCCCAAATTTTCAAGAGAAGCCAGAAAGCCAGACTTGATATGAAACTTCCTGATGTGTAAATGTTGGCAACTCATTAATTAAAAGTATTGTTTGGCTCTATCAGAACAGTTCTGTGGGTTGGGTAAGCCCCTTGGTCCCTCAGACTGAGACCTCTGCCCTCCAACTTCGGGCAGATGTAGAGATGGGGAGGAGGGAGCTGGAAAGAGAGCCTCAGGGCTCCCAGTTGTCCTCCAGGTAGGTACCTGGAAGGTGACCTCTTTCCTTAGGGATGAGACATGTCTGGGTTCTCATGCCTCTGCTTGCTACCTTGTCTTTCCACTTCTGAGGGGAAAATTAGCCCAAGAATAGCCACACAAGTTAAGTCTAACCCTCTGACGGGGTTTGGAACAAACTTTCATTATGAAGTCCAGCCTCACAGATAAGATGCACAAGGTAACATCATCTTTGTAGTTCAGTTTTAATAAGAGACCCAACTGTTTGACCATTTATGTCAACACTGGGGCTGGGGTGGGAGAGGATAAAAGAACCCATCTTAAGTCATTTGAAAAATTAAGCGAGCATAGAGTTGGCCTGCAATGAGAGTAAATAAGTCCTTCCGGTTGCTAAGAGACCCATAACTTAATCCCTTTCCCCTGATCAGCATGTGAGACTTAGCGGAAAGAAAAGAGGTTTTGATAAAGCTTTGAAAATAATGCCAAATTCAGCAACTGGAAAATCTCACCTTTTAGACAGAAAGACCCTTGGGAGGTGAAAGACTCCCCTCCCCAAGCTTTTTTTCCTACACTGTAGCTGAAAAATTAAAAAGTTCTGGAAAATAGCCTAAAGAAAAGTTAGCATTTCCACTAAGTCTTCAAGTCTTTCTTTTCTTTCCTTAGGTCTTCCCGCCTCTTTATCTTTCACATCAAACATCGTACATACCTCAGGAACTTGATTGTCCACTGGAAGAATTGTAATGTTAAAGCAGATCCCATGCAAAGTGCCACCATGTTGGTTACTGATGGAAAAGGCAAACTGGACATGTCCCGGATGGAGGCCTATATCTCTCATGGGTGGCATGTAGGCCACTTTCATGTGGTTCACAGCATGCTGCAAAGCAAATCAAGATGGACACGTGGGTGCCCATCTGCAAGGATCAGAGACTTTCAGAGAGCTAGGTCTCCGAGACCCATCATGTTGACATCCAACACTGGAAATGCCAACATCATCACTTTGAAGAGTCCAAAAAGATCTATTTTATAAATCGCTTTTTCTAAAACCAGGAGGGAAAAGAACAAAGAAATTAAGTAAATATGTCAAGTGCTTGACACCAGCCAACTCTATAAAAGACAGGAGATGTGAATTTCAACCCAGCTCCACCACAAATTAGCTGTGTGATATTGGTCAAGTTACTTAAACTTGTGAGGCCTCTGTTTCCTTATCACTACAATAAATAAAATAATAAAATAATAGTACTAAGCACATGGGGTTTACATACTCATTTGCATCATCTAACTACAGTGAGATTAGGCAGAATTAGCCCTACGGACAGGGGTAGTTGCTGCCTAAGTATTCATCACCATTACTGTGACTCTCAGGGGAGTATTCAGAGAAGAGTCCACAGGAAGGGGGAGAAGGTTGGTGAAGAATTTGGGATGGTAGTAGGTATTGTAAGTTGAATGTGTTCCCCCAAAAAAGATATGTTGAGGTCCTAACCTCTAGTACCTCAAAATATGACCTTATTTGGGAATGGGGTTGTTGCAGCTGTAATCAGTTAAGATAAAGTGTAGTCACACTGAAGGATGAGCCCTTCATGAAATATAACTTGTGTCCTCATAAGAAGAGAGAGACATGTAGAGAGAAGACAGCCATAGGATGACAGAGGCAGAATGAAGTGATGATCCACAAGCCAAAGAAGGTCAAAGAGTCCAAAGAAGAGGCAAGGAAGGCTTCCCCTACAGGGTTTCAGAAAATTGCGACCCTGACAACACCTTTACTTCAGACTTCCAGCCTCCAGAACTTCGAGACAGTAAGTCTGTTATTTTAAGCCACTCAGTTTGTGGTACCTACGGCAGCCCTAGGAAACTAATACGGTAGGATCTAGACTACTTGAATGTGTTAGAATAAAACCGTAGGCACCAGGTCTGTAAATCAGAGCCCTGCTACTGGTAAAATGATGCAAAAAAGCTGTGCTGAATTATAACAAGATTTTGAAATCATATCCAACCCAATGAAGCATTGTCAAGTAGATGGCACATGCTAAATAAAAGTCTGCAAGCAGAAAGAACGTAGACATCAAGCATTTGATACTTTTGACGTATGTCAAAGGCCATCATTCTCAAGTGCAACACTAGGAGTGTCATCCCTTCTCTCAGAAGACACCTCCATCATGTTGGGTCAACATTTCAGCATAGCATCATACCTGAGTGAATGATCTCAGCCCCGGGGCTGCAGGATTTTTGGTCAGCTTTGGAATGCTATCGACCATAAACAATTTCCCAGCATCCAGATGTCTAAAGAGAGATACAGGAGAACACATCAGCTAATTTTCCAGGCAAGAAACATTAAGTCAAAGAGCCTGCAACCAAATTTTCTAAAGCTACAAATGCTCATTGCAAGAAGAAATCAAATGTTCCATCTTCATATTCTCTCTTGCGGGGGTGGGGGTGGGGGTGGGGGTGGTTCTAGCCTTCTGTCCAGAATCATCAATGCCATTCTTATGACTGCAGAAACTATGTACAGAATTTTCTATTTTGATTTCATGAAAGTGAATCATTCTTCTCATCCTAAAAAATGTTTTCTTGCTATCATGTACATGACACAAGCCTCAGGTATATTCATGCCACTTTTCTGATTGGGATTATAGAATATGACCATTTTGTGTCCTGCAATATCTGAAAATAGTGTTATAAAGATAAAATAAATTTTTTTTAAAAAGACAAAAATAACATTCTCTTTAGAAAAAAAGGAATGTTGTATGAAAAAAAAAGATTAAAGACTATTTTAAGCTTACCTAAGCTGAAGACACTATAAGTGGCAGGTCACTTACCAATTAATACAGCTTTTGAAGGGAGGTATGAAATAAGTTTGAGATTACAGTAAATGCGGAATTGAATACAAGTTCATGTCTGACCAACAGAGCAACTGAACCACAGTACTGTACATGGACACTTGCAACTCAGTCCTTGGACACAACCCTCAACAAATAGCCCAGGTGATGACTTCTCAAGAGATACCTGTGGCCGAAAGAGAAAAATGGAGGTGTCGTTATCGTGTAGAGAAGCTCCCTGTCATATTCTGTATCTATATAATGTAGATGTTTCTTAGTTATGTAGGCCACCTCAGTTTCCTTGACAACCAAATGCCGAGAAACTCCAGGAGCCTCTTTTGGAAGCTGGTCATCCACTGGAGTGATATGGATGGTCACCACCTGGAAAGAAATTACCTGTGCCATTAATTTGAAATACCAAAGGACACCAAAGAAAACACCCCACAATCACCCAGTCATGGTTAAGATGCTTTTCAAAAACTCCCATTTGTAATATACTTCCACTGAAATGATTCAGGAGCTATTAAGAACATGGGCCAAAAATGGAACATTCTTACCCACTTAATGTTATATTTTAAGAATAGAATTATCACAATTATAGTTAATGCAGCCATGAATGCTATAGAACAAGCACATAATACACAAAATATGTTCCTGATTTTATTTCTACTTCTCCCTTGCACCAACAACCTGTGCTTTCTCTCACTACCATCCTCCACTCAGTCATTGATCCTAGAAACCTTGTCATGACTTTTGGTTCCTTCCTCTCCACTGACACATAACACATCTCCAAATCCCAGAGTTTCTGCTTACCAAATTTCCTATGCCATGACCACACCCTGCCCCCACCCCAACTGTCATTCCCACTCTTACTGGTCTAGCTCCAGCTCTCATCGTTGTTTCCCTACATTATTGCAACAGCTTCCTGTAAGCCCTAACTCCAATACCTAATCTAGACTTTACATATCTCTAGTCTTCTCTTTAAAAAAAAAAAATGCAAGTCAAATCAGTTATTCCTCTCCCCAAAAAAACTAAAGAACCACTCAGGAGGGATTAAATTATTCAAGCTCCTCAGCATAGCACCCAAGACCTCCACGGTTTAGACACACTCTATTTTTCAACTTTATCTTGTATCACCTTTCAACATTAACCCAGGACGCTAGATGAGCACAAGATACCAGGCTGTAGTTATCAAGCAGGTCTCTATGCTCTGGATCATGCTGTTCCTTCAATCTGCAATGCTTTTCTCCTGCTTTCTCCAGCAACTTGAGGCTTTCTTACCCTGGAGGGTTCTTCTTAAAACTTTGCCCAATTTCTTGGGGTTCCTGCGTGGCTCAGTCAGTTAAGCGTTCAACTCTTAATTTTGGCTCAGATCATGGTCTCAGAGTCATGAGATTGAGTCCTGCATCAGGCTGCCCGCTCAATGGGGAGTCTGCTTGAGATTCTTTCCCTCTGCCCCTCCCCTACCCCCACATGTGCTTGCTCTCTCTAAAAGAAATAAATCAATCTTAAAAAAAAAAAAAAACTTTGCCCAATTTCTCAGTTGGAATTATTTTTGAATTTTGCTTATCCCTCAACAAACATTATTATTTTGTATTGCCTTGTATTAATTTTCAGTAGTTCACATGTCGGTCTCTCCTAGACTAAAATATCCACAAAGGGAGAATCATAGCCTAGTGCAAACCATGTGGAATTTGTCAGTGGACAGACAGTTAAAATGCAGAGTATACCACTCAGTAGTTATTAATCTTGAACAAGTCACTCGACCTTTTTGGGTGTCAGTTTTATTGGTTCGTTAAGTGTAACAACAACAATCTCACAGAGTTGCTTTGAGAATCAAATATCACCACGTAGATAAATATCTGGCACACAGTAGGTGCTCAATAAATATTATGTTCATTTCCATTGCTCCACAAAAACTGGTATCCTATTTTGTAGACAGGGAGATACTTCATCAGTGTTCGCTAACTCAGTCAAAATGGCCTATTTGTGATTTTTTTAATTCTTAAAATCATACTCACAGGTTTGGGATCATGTAAGAGGACAAGGCAACTTTGCCAAACAGCTTTTATCATCACATTTATTTTTTTTCCAATAATCCATAACTGTAGCGAGAAGGCAATTACTAACTCTTTCTCAAAATGGGACATTTGTTTGGCATCACGGATCTTTGCACAGCTTGATGCGTGAGAGTATTCTTACTCTGGTTCTAATTATTTTAATATTGTTACCAAAGCACAGATCAGCAATGCCAGTTTTGTCTACAATAATGGTGTTCACAATACTTAATTTGACAATGAAGAAAATTCCTTTGTAAATTGATGTACAAAGCAAAAACTAAAGCATGGTTAAGCTTTTTGATGATAAAGCCTGGGACATCAGCTCAGTCACCTACAAGCTAAGCTCCCTGAGGCAGATAATTTTACTCCTTTGGGGCTCAGTTTTTCTCTCTAGTAGCACAGTGAGTACCCAGTAGTAGGTGCTCAATTAATTAATTCCCTGTCTTCATCCTTCATTACTTTTACAAAAGCATACAACATATTTACTACTCCATTATGAAGCATTTCAATAATTAAAAACTAAAGCCAGTTATCAAAATAAAAGAACACAATGACAGTCATTTCTCCAGTCTCCTGGAGTCTGTGTCACAATTTTTTTTCCAATTACAGTTTTTTTGCTAATCTACAAAGTTCAGAAATTCTCTATGGGACCTCCCAGCCATAGTGTGCATCAGCGAGGCTCCACTTAATTGAAAAACTGGATTTAATATGGAAACAATAGTTATTGTGCCTTCAAAGAGACCATTTTCCATGCTAATTTATTCTCCAATGTGTTCTTTGTGTAAAAAGAATGTACAAGCATGCTTTTCTATACCCCTGTAGTAATTCTTGGTGGGCACATTTTTCAACATGCTTTATGATCACTTAAGTTGATGTATCTTTACATATTTATGCATGTTTAAACAATTATTGTACGTGTGTCTGTGGGTAAGAAAAGTCCTATTTTAACAAGCTCCATAGAGAAATAAAGAATTCTCATTGTACTGAAATTTGGTTGTAAAAAAGACATTATTGAACACCCATTCCCAGACAATGAAAACCTAATGCCCAATCACTGGGCTCTTGCTGCTGACTCTCCCTACATCCCTCCAGTCTACTTATGGCCACAGGCACCTGCAAACAGATTTAGAGAGAATCTGAATATAAAGTGATAAAGCAGTACACAAAATGACAAAGCTTGACCTTGACCCTCAGAATCAGACTTGATATATGATACTCCGACAGCTAGTATCTGACTTCCTTACAAGCCTGGGTTCTTGATCCTTTCTCTGTATCCACTTTGATTTTTGCCTGATTCTTTATCTTGCATCTTCTTTTTGAGATTATCCAGCGCTATTTCTCTGCCCCAGGAACTACTACCCAAGTTAGCTTTGCCCACCCCACTCTCCAGTCTGACTTCTGACAAATGCCCATGCCCTGGGTGCCTCTTCTCTCATCCAGTCACATCCAGTTGCCTCCTCCCACTTGACCCACAGGACTTTGTGGGATCTGCTTCCTTTCTTCCTCCATTTCTTAGTCCTCGTCCTGTTTCTCTCATCTATCTGTATTTTTCATTCTCCACTTCTTTTTTTTTTTTAAGTTTTTATTTTAAACACCCAGTGCTCATCATGACAAGTGCATGCCTTAATCCCCATCACCTATATCACCCATTTCCCCCCACCACCCCATTTTACTTCTAATATCACTTCCTCCTGGTTTAAGATCTCTTACAGCTTAAGCCCTATAAAGGCCTCTATGGAGAAGGATAAAGAAGGAAATATTTTTCAAAAACAAATTGAGCGGGTGAGGCTTTATTTGATGACAGTAATGACAACCAAGACAGAAAGAGAGAGGGGTTTCTTGCTGATGTGTAGACACACTGTTGGTTGGTGTGTCAGTCAACCTTTCTGACGAGCATTCAGTAGAGAAGGACAAGAGGAGGGAAAGGGCATCCCTGCTTATGTAACTTCTTTCCTGCTTTATGTGCATCGTGTCTCACCTGAGGACATCCTTGCTTTCTGTCTCTATGAAAGGCAGTTTTCCAACAGTGTGGCCTAAGCAATCTTGTGCCCTACTTTAATTTTTGGTGACTAGATTTTGCTGAATTTTTATCTGTAAGACATGACTAGATACTTGTCCAAATTGAAGATGCAATCATCAAGTAGACTAAATGATCATGCAAGTCCCTTAAAAATTAGAGTTTCAATGATGACATCGGGGGTTTACAACACAGAAACGCTTACCAACACACACACACACAATACTTGTTTTGTTGTTAGGCACACACTAATTCCTAGAAACTCTGAAGAATAAAGATTTACACTTATTCCTCCCTATGGCACTCCCTCCCCAGTTCCTACCAAATGTTTCAGTCTTCTTATTTTCTCTTACTTTCAAGAAAAATGGAAAGAACCAGAGTTCATTTTGGTACACACAAAAAAGCAGCTCTTGAGGCTCTACTTCGAGTCTTGAAACAAAGTCGGAAGATACAAGATAAATAATTTGTGATTCCTGCCATCAGTGAGCTCACAGTTGATCCAATAAAACAAATAATGGCCTCACATTTTAGTTATTTGATATCAGATCATATAAAAGGACAAGCTGAGCCAGCCTGGGAGAGTTATGGAATGGAGGGCATTGGGAAAGGATTCTTGGAGCAGGTGATGCTATAGCTGAGAGTAGGTCCATAATCTGGAGAAGGACCAAGCTAAAGCTGCCACTAGTCAGAAGTGGGGGAAAAAAATGGATGCCAGAGGAATGTTACCAAACACTCTGCCACTGTATTAATGCGTTTTAATTGTCCTCAGTTACAAGGATGTGGCTGATCTCCTCTATTCTTAAGAGATGTGAGGGATTCTGACGATAATTTAGCCCCCAAAAGATGAAGATTGGAACGAAAGCACTGGCAGTGCGGTGGAGAGCTAGAGACACATGAGAGAAATTTATCGATTTAGTAAGACCTGCTGACTGACCAGTTATACAGATATTCGATGGAGAAAAGGGCTGGGGAGGACTTCAGGGATTCTAGTTACAGTGGTTTTCTAAAAGTTTGGGGGAAATATTCCAAATGTCTCATGGATTGTGGACATGATGAATTTAAAATGCTGGTGAAGGCACGTGGGTGGCTCAGTCGGTTGGATGTCTGCCTTTGGCTCGGGTCATGATCCCAGAGTCCCAGGATTGAGTCCCGCATCAGGTTCCCTGCTCAGTGGGGAGTCTGCTTCTCCTTCTGCCCCTCACCTCTCTCTCTCACTCTCTCATAAGTGAATAAAAATAAAATCTTTAAAAATAAAATAAAATGCTGGTGAGACATATGTGTAATGATGTCAGGTATGGAGGTGGGTACATAAGACCGAGCTGGAGAATATTTAGGAATCAAAGAATAGGTGGTACATGAAGACACAGCAAATTTATAGATTCTGTCTCTGTCTCTTTCTCAACAAAGATTAAGAATACGAAAGCAAAGAAAAATATAATTATGACCTCTTCTTTCAAAATCTATCCATCATCTGGATATACAGAGTTTGATCTGACTTATTTGCCAAGATTTAGAAATAATTCTGCTTCAATAAAGTTTTCATTACCTTATTATAGAGAGATCTCACATCTCCATTTGATCTATAAATATGAGATAAATATAAATATATCTATACCTACGATGTATAAAATATGTAATAGCAGAAGAGGAAAAAGAAGTCCTGAGCTTTCTTTTTTTTTGCTTTTGTTTTTTATTGTTATGTTAATCACCATACATTACATCATTAGTTTTAGATGTAGTGTTCCATGATTCATTGTTTGTGCATAACACCCAGTGCTCCATGCAGAACGTGCCCTCTTTAATACCCATCACCAGGCTAACCCATCCTCCCATCCCCCTCCCCTCTAGAACCCTCAGTTTGTTTCTCAGAATCCACAGTCTCTCATGGTTTGTGTCCCCCTCCGATTTCCCCCCCTTCATTCTTCCCCTCCTGCTATCTTCTTCTTCTTTTTTTTTTTTAACATATATTGCATTATTTGTTTCAGAGGTACAGATCTGAGATTCAACAGTCTTGCACAATTCACAGCTCTGAGCTTTCAATTTTTTAAAAAAACACATAATCCACTAAAAGTGATATGGTATTCTAGTCAGAAACAGGTCAGTTTGAATAGATACAATAGAAGATTTAAAAATAAATCCTATTAGTAGATGCCATTTTAGATTATCAAGTCAACTAAGGTCTCAAGCAAAAATGCAATCTAGAAATGGCATATAATACACTGTTGAAAAGAGGGAGTTGTTATTTGTAAAGGAATTGATTTGTTATTCAATATGCAGATGAATTAAGAATTTTCTCATTCATTCTCTATTCCCTCCTAACAGGGATCACCTAGTTCCTTCAGTTTCTGGGCTCTCTGACATCATTCTTCCTGATCATCCCTTTTTGTTACCTTTGTCTTGGCAAGCAGATGAATAGCTCAATCACCTATGCAGTGGCTAATGTAAGTGACTGTGACATTTTGAGTAGCATTATATAACCAATAGGGACACATGCTTTAAGAAATCATTCTAGAGGGGCGCCTTGGTGGCCCTGTCTGATAAGCACCTGACTCTTGATTTCAGCTCAGGTCATGATCTCAGGGCCATGAGACTGACCCCTGCATCTGGGCTCCATGTTCGGCAGTGAATCTATTTCTTCCTCCTTCTCCCTCTGTCCCTACTCCCCTGTAAAATAAATAAATCTTTTTAAAACATCATTCTAGAGCTGGTTCTCAAGATCATAGCAAAAAGAACCGGGTATAGTAAGTAATCACTTATTTTCAGCTGTCTTTCCACCCCTACCACCAGCCATCCTCTCTTTACATGGAGTCTACCCTTTTACAGTTTATAGTTGTCCAGATCCTACACTAACTTCATTTTCTGTAATTTCTATATGAGAATGCCTCCTTAAACTTATTTCTGCATCCTGTATACTTAAATGATATACTTGAGTGGTGGTAAAACTAATAGTTCTTCAAAAGCAACAATAAATAATAGCTAATTTGTCTACTGAGTACTTATCATGTGCCAGAAAGTTCTCAGTACTTTATACATGATTATCTCACTTACCCTCACAATTGCTCTATAAGGAAGTTGTATTATTACCTATTTTACAGATGAGGAAACTGAGGCACAGGTCAAACAGTTAGTTAAGGTCAAGGACAGGAGAGAAACATGGGCAGTGTAACTTCAGAGACTATACTTCAACCACTACACATAAAATGCCAGTGTTTTCTCAAGTCTTATGAGGTCAGCATATTTTGGGAGCTGTTCTGTATAAAACGGCCCCATGGTTAAATGATCTTGAAAACCCTGCATTACACGGAGTTTTTACAAATACAATAATTTACAAAACTAATTAGGAAAGTAAATGGTAGAGAAGTCATGCTGCAAAGAAATTGAATTAATCTTGCTGAATCCATTGTTTCTCAAGCTTTAAACCTTAAAACCTGCTTTTACACAGTTTCTAATAACCCCTCCCGGAATGGATATCTGTGGACAAGACTTTGAGGGCAATATTCAGAGATGGCCTCTTACCTGTGGCACTGAGAGATTTGGAGGTTCATGGCTATCCCACAGGACAAATTCAAAAAAGTCTTCAAAGATCTCTCCACCAAAGTGACGATAATAAATGATGCCATTAAATAGATCCCTCTGAAGGAAGCCAGGGACAGGATAGCCTATCGGGTCCACATAACAGCACATACTTTTGTAACAATCTTCCAGATGTTGGGGTATAAAGATACTGGACTTATCTCCAAAGTATTCTCTGCCTAGTATGGTGTATGCACTCAAGGACTTTTCATTAAATACTTTTATCAAAGCTTATAAATAATAAGCAGAAAAATTAAAGTTGCTACACCTGTCTTAAAATAGGTAGAAAAATTAGCATTACAAAAAATATTTTTAAGAAACGGTCTTAACTAACACCAACTATTTGATCCCTATTTTGTTACTCCTGACTACTTTAAGAAGTAGTTATGAAATTATTCTAATAAAACATAAACAAATGTTTTTCATGAAATTACTTTACCAATAATTTAGAATAGGCCAAACACTTCTCTTCAAACTTATTTGTTCTATCATCTTGCTTGGCAGATGTAATTTTTCATAATGTAATACCTAGAGGCTCAGCTCTCCAGATGCACAGACTTGAATAGATCAATTTAACTTTTCCAGGTATCAGGTTTCCCATCCATAAAATGGGAATGATAATGGTATCTTACCTCATCAACTTGATGTCCACCCTTGTACAAATTCTGACACCAACAATCTTAACTGTTCAGAACTTACCTATCAGCCCTGGCCCTGGCTTCTTCATGATCTCTCCAGCCTGAGGAGGTTTTGTGATATTAAAGAAGATGTAGTCATCACTGGAGTCCATGTCTGATGCTCTCAGCATGGAACCCTGGATCAGTATGGTCTGCCCCTCCTCCAGTTCAATCACAATGTTGCTTATGAGGAATGGGGGACTGTCATCTTTGGGCAAGATGTTGATGGGAAACTTATGGCGGATGCTGTGATGGCCATCAAATATCCTGAAGATCACGAAGTCTTTGGTGGAGTCACTGTCGTCATGATGATAGCGAACAACTCCAGCCTGAAGGTCAGCCACAGTGAAGAGAAATCCTTTCCCGCCTGATGGAGAGAACAGAGATGGAGCTGACTGAATGACGGGTGCCGAGGGAACAGCCGTAGTGAAAGCAGCCCTAGAGGAGAAGGTATTGAGGAAAGTGGACCAGCCAATACTTGCCTCACTTAAACAAACAGTCTTGTTTAGTCAGCTCTGGGCCTCCACAGATCTGGTTTTGAATACTGGCTGTAACATTAATTAGCTGTGAGACTTGGGCAAAGTACTTAATTCGTTTGAGACTCGTCTATAAAATGGATAATAACACCTACCTCATATTCCCTAGTAAGGATGAGAGAACTTAAAGAACAGTAAGCCTACAAAATATGTTGATTTTTATTAAATTCATTGTTATCATCCTACATGGCAGCACTTCTTAGAGGGGCGGTCTTAAACCAAGAGCATCAGTACCATCTGGGAAGTCGTTAGAAATGCAAGTTCTGGAGGTAAGCCCCAGCAATCTGTGTCTTACTAAACCTCCAGGAGAGTCCTCTTGACACATGCTAAAGTTTTTTGTTTTGTTTTGTTTTTTTTTAATTTTATTATGTTATGTTAGTCACCATACATTACATCATTAGTTTTTGATGTAGTGATCCACGATCCATTGTTTTCGTATAACACCCAGTGCTCCATGCAGTACGTGCCCTCCTTAATACCCATCACCGGGCTAACCAATCCCCCCTCCCCCCTCCCCTCTAAAACCCTGTTTGTTTCTCAGAGTCCATAGTCTCTCATGGTTCATCTCTCCTTCCAATTCCCCCCCCCCGCCATCTTTCCCTTCCTTCTCCTAATGTCCTCCATGTTATTCCTTATGTTCCACAAATAAGTGAAATCATATGATAATTGACTTTCTCTGCTTGACTTATTTCACTTAGCATAATCTCCTCCAGTCCCATCCATGTTGATGGAAAAGTTGGGTATTCATCTTTTCTGATGGCTGAGTAATATGCCATTGTATATATGGACCACATCTTCTTTATCCATTCATCTGTTGAAGGGCATCTCGGCTCTTTCCACAGTTTGGCTATTGCGGACATTGCTGCCATGAACATTGGGGTGCGTATGGCCCTTCTTTTCACTACATCTGTGTCTTTGGGGTAAATACCCAGGAGTGCGATTCCTGGGTCATAGGGTAGCTCTATTTTTAAATTTTTGAGGAACCTCCACACTGTTTTCCAAAGTGGCTGTACCAGCTTGCATTCCCACCAACAGTGTAAGAGGGTTCCCCTTTCTCCACAACCTCTCCAACATTTGTTGTTTCTTTCCCTGTCCATTTTTGCTATTCTAACTGGTGTAAGGTGGTATCTCAGTGTGGTTTTGATTTGGATTTCCCTGATGGCTAATGATGATGAACATTTTTTCATGTGTCTGTTAGCCATTTGTATGTCTTCTTCAGAGAAGTGTCTTTTCATATCTTCTGCCCACTTTTTGACTTGATTATTTGTTTTTTAGATGTTGAGTTTGAGAAGTTCTTTATAGATCTTGGATACCAGCCCTTTATCTGTAGTGTCATTTGCAAATATCTTCTCCCATTCTGTGGGTTGCCTCTTTGTTTTGTTGACTGTTTCCTTTGCTGTGCAGAAGCTTTTTATCTTGATGAAGTCCCAAAAGTTCATTTTTGCTTTTGTTTCACTAGCTTTTGGAGATGTATCTTGAAAGAAGTTGCTGTGGCCGATGTCAAAGAGGTTACTGCCTATGTTCTCCTCCAGGATTTGGATGGATTCCTGTCTCACATTGAGGTCTTTCATCCACTTGGAGTTTATCTTTGTGAATGGTGTTAGAGAATGGTCGAGTTTCATTCTTCTGCATGTGGCTGTCCAATTTTCCCAGCATCATTTATTGAAGAGACTGTCTTTTTTCCATTGCATGTTTTTTCCTGCTTTGTCAAAGATTATTTGACCGTAGAGTTGAGGGTCCATATCTGGGTTCTCTATTCTGTTCCATTGGTCTGTATGACACATGCTAAAGTTTGAGAATCACTGGCTTATTGCCCAAGAGCTAGAGCTCTAATATCTAATGGCCTGGGTTCAAAGCCCAGTTCAGCCATTTTCTAGGTACATGACCTTAGACAAGTCAACTTCTCTAAATCTCAGGTTCCCCATTTGTAAAGTGGGAATAATAATACTACTTCATTTCATAAAGCTGATACAAGATAAAGTATGTAGAATGCTTTGTATAGTATCTGGCACAAAGAAAATACTTAATAAATATTAGTACTATTATCTACCTCCTCTGAGCCACATCATCATGCGCTACCACTCTACTCTTCATTTCTACAGTATTAGTAAACATTGCTTCACTCTGCAGAAGTGATTACAATTCTTGGTGGCAAGTGCCCCAGCAGTCTCCCTACGCTGTATGGTTGTTTTAAAAACCTTCTTGGAATAAGCGATTAAACACTTGTATAATAGACATTACAGGTTTACTTGCCCAGTAGCCACTTCCTGCTTCTTCACCAGTACCAGATCCTAGTTTTATTTGGAATGGCAATATGACCATTAAAAAATACTCAGGTTCCCAAACTCCACTGCATCTAGGGGGTAGTATGTGCTTGGTAGATTTAAGTGGAACCCACTGTATCAGGTTCCTGCAAAAAGTTGTTAGAGAGAGCAAATTAATTAACATAACTTTTTTCATTTCCCTTCTCTTCCTTCCTGGAATGCAGACCCAAAGTTTGGAGGTGTAGGCACCATCTTGTGACCACTGTCAGAGCAGAAAGAGCTCCTGGCATCATGGATCTGGAATGCTTACCTCTGGGCAACTTGTCACATGAGGAAAATAACTCTTGAATTTTTTTAATCACTGTAGCTGGGTTTCCCTTACATGCACCTGAACATCTACCCTAATTGATATACCCAGGCTTAAGCTGATCTCCTACTCCTCTGGGATTAGGCAAGAGAATTTATCATTCCATTTTTGATTTCAGAATTCCTAATCACAAATGATAATAAATAAGAGCTCCCTTTCTGCTTTATAGTTAGGAATACCAAGAGGATAACTGAATTAAATCCTCTGAGCTCATTATAAGGAATGGACTATATTATTATACAATATGAATATTATTTTATTAAGGCTATTACCTTGTTAACTACTATCCTTATAATCATAATTAACATAATAACATAATGCTACTAACATAATAACATAATGATTACCAAATATTAAAAAAAACTAAGTTTTTCTGTTTTTCAATACATTTTTCTGAATCAGAGAAATGAGAAGGAAATATTTTGTCTTCCAACTGGGACAAGATCATCAGTTGAAGAGTATATTTAGAAGGAGTACTACATGGCATCTGAGATTTAAATAATGAGCCAAGTACAAGATGTTACTCATAAATGGTCATCCAGGGGCACCTGGGTGGCTCAGTCAATTAAGTGTCCAATTTAATTGACTGAGCTCCACATCAGGCTACTTGCTAGGCATGGAGCCTGCTTAAGATTCTCTCTCTCTCCCTCTTCCTTGCCCCTCCCCCTTCAATAAATAAATAGGTAAGTAAATGAATGGTCATCCATTGATGTGAGCACCCTAACACAAAAGCTAATGGTTTCAAGATCTCCAGATTTTCTGGATATGACAATTTATTTAGAAATGAGGTCTAAGACAGAAGATTTATTTGAACAAGTCATAGCTGAAAACTTCCCTAATCTGCAGAAGGAAACAGACATCCAAATCCAAGAGGTACATCAAAATCAACAAAAGCCAGCCAACACCAAGACATATCGTAGTAAAATTTGCAAAACAGAGAGATGAGGAAAGAATTCTGGAAGTAGCAAGGGAAAAAAATTCCCAACCTACAAGGGACGACAAATCAGGTTCACAGCAGATCTCTCCACAGAAATCTGGCAGGCCAGAAGAAAGTGGCATGATAATATTCAACACGCTAAATGGGAAAAATATGCAGCAAAGAACACTTTATCCAGCAAGGCTGTCATTGAGAATAGAAGGAGAGATAAAGAGTTTCTGAGACAAACAAAAACTGAAGGAGTTCATGACCACTAAACCAGCCCTGCAAGAAATACTAAAGGGGACTCTCTGAGTAGGAAAGAAAGACCAAAAGCAACAAAGACTAGAAAGGAATAGAGAACATCTCCAGAAACACCAACTGTACAGGTAATACAATGGATTTGTAATACAATACAAATATGAATAAATTCATATCTATCAATAATCACTCTGAATATAAATGTACTAAATGCTCCAATAAAAAGACATAGGATATCAGAATGGATTAAAAAAATAAAAGAAGATCCACAAATGCTGCCTAAAAGAGACTCATGTTACTTATTTATTTTATGTATTTATTTTTTAAGATTTTTATTTATTTATTAGACAGAGAGACACAGCGAGAGAGGGAACACAAGCAGGGGGAGTGGGAGAGGGAGAAGCAGGTTTCCCGCTGAGCAGGGAGCCCAATGCGCGGGGCTCGATCCCAGGACCCTGGGATCATGACCTGAGCCAAAGGCAGACACAACAACTGAGCCACTCGGGTGCCCCGAGACTCATTTTAGACCTAAAGACACCTGCAGATTGAAAGTGAGAGCTTGGAGAACCATCTATCATGCTAATGGATGTCAAAAGAAAGCCAGAGTAGCCATACTTACAACAGACAAACTAGATTTTAAACCAAAGACTGTAAACAGAGATGAAGAAGGGCACTATACCATAAGTACGGGCTCTATCCAACAAGAAGATCTAACAATTGTTCCAAAAAATAGAAATGGAAGGAAAACTTCCAAACTCCTTCTACAAGGCTAGCATTACCTTGATTCCAAACCAGACAAAGATCCCACTGATAAAGAGAATTCCAGGCCAATAGCCCTAATAAAAATGGATGTAAAAATTCGCAACAAGATACTAGCAAATCGAATCCAACAGTACATCAAAAGAATCATTCACCATGATTAAGTGGGATTTATTCCTGGGCTGCAAGCGTGGTTCAACATTTGCAAATCCATCAATGTGATACACCACATTAATAAAAGAAAGGATAAGAACCATATGATGCCCTCAATAGATGTAGAAAAAGCACTTGACAAAAACAGCATCCATTCTTGATAAAAATCCTCAACAAAGTAGGGATAGAGGGAACATATCTCAACATAATAAAGATCATATATGAAAAACTCACAGCTAATATCATCCCCAATAAGGAAAAACTGAGAGTTTCTCCTCTACCATCAGGAACAAGACAAGGATGTCCACTCTCACCACTGTCATTTAACACTGTACTGGAAGTCCTAGCCTCAGCAATCAGACAACAAAAAGAAATAAAATGCACCCAAATTGGCAAGGAAGAAGTCAAACATTTGCAGATGACATGATACTCTATGTAGAAAACCTGGAAGTTTCCACCAAAAAAATTGCTAGAACTGATAGATGAATTCAACAAAGTTACAGGATACAAAATCAATGTACAGAAGTCTGTTGCATTTCTATATACCAATAATGAAGTAGCAGAAAGAGAAATTAAGGAATCAATCCCATTTAAAATTGCAACAAAAAACATAAGATGCCTAGGAATAAACCTAATGAAAGAGATAAAAGACCTGTACTCTGAAAACTATAGAACACTGATGAAAGAAACTAAAGATAACACAAAGAAATGGAAAAACATTCCACGCTCATGGATTGGAAGAACAAATGTTGTTAAAATGTCTATGCTACCCAGAGCAATCAACATATTTAATGCAATCCCCAACAAAATACCACCAGCATTTTTCACAGAGCTAGAACAAACAATCCTCAAAATTTGTATGGAATCATAAAAGACCCCTAGTAGCCAGAGGAATGTTGAAAAAGAAAAGCAAAGCTGGTGGCATCACAATTCCGGACTTCCAGCTCTATTACAAAGCTGTCATCATCAAGACAGCATGGTACTGGCACAAAAAGACACATAGATCAATGGAACAGAATAGAGAGCCCAGAAATGGACCCTCAACTCTATGGTCAACTAATATTCAAAAAAGCAGGAAAGAATGTCCATAGCAAGAAAGAATCTCCAACAAAGCAGGAAAGAATGTCCAATGTCAAGAAAGCAGGAAAGAATGTCCAAAGAAAAGACAGTCTCTTCAACAAATGGTGTTGGGAAAACTGGACAGCAACATGCAAAAGAATGAAACTGGACCACTTTCTTACACCATACACCAAAATGAATTCAAACTGGATGAGGGGCACCTGGGTGGCTCAGTCTTTGGGCATCTGCCTTTGGCTCAGGTCAGGGTCTCGGGGTCCTGGGATCGAGCCCAGCACAGGCTCCCTGCTCGGCGGAAGGCCTGCTTCTCCCTCTCCCACTCCCCCTGCTTGTGTTCTCTCTTTCACTGTCTGTCAAATAAAGAAAAATCGTTAAAAATAAATAAATAAACAAAATGGATGAAATACCTAAATGACACCATCAATCAAAATCCTAGAGAACATAGGCAGCAACCTCTTCGACCATGGCCACAGCACGTCTTACCAAATATGTCACCACAGGCAAGGGAAACAAAGGCAAAAATGAACCATTGGGACTTCATCAAGATAAAAAGCTTCTGCACAGTGAAGGAAATAATCAACAAAACTAAAAGGCAACCTACGGAATGGGAAAAGATATCCAAATGACATATCAAATAAGGGATTAGTATCCAATATCTATAAAGAACTTAGCAAACTTAGCAAGAAACCAATAATCCACTTAAGAAATGGGCAGAAGACATGAATAGACATTTTTCCAAAGAAGACATACAAATGGCCAACTGACACATGAAAAGATACTCAACATCACTCATCACCAGGGAAATACAAATCAAAACTCCAATGAGATACCACCTCACATCTGTCAGCATTGTTAAAATTAACAACACAGGAAACAGCAGATGTTGGCAAGGATGCAGAGAAAGGGGGACCCTCTTACACTGTTGGTGGGAATGCAAAAACTAGTGCAGCCAATTTGGAAAACAGTATGGAGTTTCCTCAGAAAGTTAAAAATAGAACTACCCCATAATCCAGCAATTGCACTACTTGGTATTTACCCAGTGGATACAAAAATACTGAAAAGGTATATGCACCCCACTGTTTATAGCAGCATTATCAACAATAGCCAAATTATGGAAAGAGCCCTAATGTCCATCGACTGATGAATGGATAAAGAAGTTGTGGTATATACATATATATAATGCAATAATACTCGGCCATCAAAAAGGATGAGATCTTGCCATTTGCAAGGACATGGACAGAACTAGAGTGTTTTATGCTAAGCAAAATAAGTCAGTCAGAGAAAGACATATTCCATCTGATTTCACTGATATGTGGAATTTAAGAAATAAAACAGATGAACCTAGGTGGAGGGGAAAAAAGGAGAGAGGGAAGCAAACAATAAGAGTCTCTTAACTATAGAGAACAAACAGGATTAACGGAGGGAGGTGGGTGGGGGATGGGCTAAATGGTGATGGGTATTAAGGAAGACACTTGTGATCAGCACTGGGTGTTATATGTAAGTGATGAATCATTAAATTCTACTTCTGAAACCAGTATTACATTATATGTTAACCAACTAGAATTTAAATAAAAACTTGAAAAAAAAAAAAAAGAAATGAGGCCTAAGAGATGCTATGTACATCCTGCCAAATATGATCTGCCTTTGGAGAAAATACTTCTCAGGTTCTCTTCTAGGTCAGAGAGACTGATCTTTCACCTCTTAGTGTAAGCCGTCCATGCTGCAGGCCGCCCACGGTGACCAGCTGGACAGCATGGATGTCATCATTGTCGACAATCTGAAACTGTTCCCAAGTGATGGCCCGAGACTGCCCCTCTAGAAGACTCAGACCTACAAGAGAAAACAGAAAAGTGTTCTAGAAAGTTCTATGACATGCCAACATGCCTACTTTAAGACAAGATTAATGAATTTTCACTCACGATACTAGCTGAAAATTGTATCTTTGGAAGCTTTTCAAAAAATTTGAATTTAGCTTTTATTTTAGTAATATTTCTTTTTTTAAGATTTATTCATTTAGTTGAGAGAGAGTGCAGAGGGGAGGGGCAGAGGGAGAAGGAGTGGGAAACTCAAGCAGACTCCATGCTCAGCGTAGAGCCCAATGCGGGGCTTGATCTTATGACCCTGAGAACATGACCTGAGCTGAAACCAAGAGTCAGACGCTTAACCAACTGAGCTGCCCAGGCACCCCATATTTTCAGTAATATTTCTACCTTTTTTAAGATTTTATTTATTTGACAGAGAGAGAGAGGGAGAGAGAGAACACAAGCAAGGGGAGCGGGAGAGGGAGAAACAGGCTCCCCACTGAGCAGGGAGCCCCGACTCGGGGCTCGATCCCAGGACCCTGGGACCATGACCCAAGTCAAAGGCAGATACCTAACTGACTGAGCCACTGAGACGCCCTGTAATATTTCTACTTTTAATACTATTAACCCCAATCTGACAACTGGTTCCTTATATATCTATTGGAGGCATGGTGGTGCCAGAAAATAAATAAAGGAAAGAATGGATGTTATGTTCATGGTAGTCTCTAGTTCAAAAATGTCCACAAGGAATTTTTCAAAGATGACATCTAGATATTTTAAGCGGGCCAAAAAATCAAAAGAGTTTTTCCATATAAGTTAGGAGTGCAAGAGTAGCTCACAGGACAGAGAATGTAAAGTGGGTAACTGTGCAAATACAGAGCTACTCTGCTAAGGGAGTGTTTAACGATATTAGACATGAAGTGTCTGACATCGCAATGAGGGCTGACTTTTATTCTAGACTCTAATAAAGAACGGACTTTTGTAACTAGAGGAAATGAAATAAAACCTTCTCCTTGGACCCAGCATGCTGGAGGAAATCTAGGGAGAGAGGGAAAGGGCTGCTCAGAGCAGCAAGAATATAGATCCTGGACAGAACACTCCAGTGAAAAATAGGGAGCTGAGAGCATCATCACCAACCATTCCCATTATTCAGGAGATCCAGGAGCTGGCAGATTGCAGAGAATCTTAAATGGGAGCAAAGCTTTTTAAGGAAACAAGTTGATAAAACTTAAAGGCAGTGTACTGGTGGACCAGATGACGCTCCCTTTCAAACCTGCCCAGCTTCCCCTGCCCCACCCCCACCCCCCGGCCGTGACCATGTGCCTGATTTCTCACAGCAGCAGCCCCATGTGGGTCCCTACAGTCCCCACAACTGTAAAGTCCCAGCTGCCACCACTGCCTCATCTTCTGGTGTGTGGCCGTTTACCTCCACCATCCTCTTGGGCAAGGGCCAGCTTGTGGCATGACCTACCCTTGCGACCACGGCCAGGTCCTACACCAGGGGACCCAGGGAGTTTCTGTAGCAGCCGCAAAGAGGGGCCAGGCAGCTCATCATGGACATGTGGGGAGCTGACCTCCAGGGAGGCAAACTGACCACAGTGAGCCAGAAGATGGGAAGGAGCTGAGAGAGAGACCATTCACATCTTCCCCAGCCCACCTCTGACTCCGCCCACACACAGTGGCTCCGTCTCCTGGAGACACCAGCCCAAAACAGCAGCCAACCTCACTTCCTCATCAACCTAGTCACACCACCTTTTTCTCTGTTTCCCACAACTGCCTTTCCCTCTCATTCTTGTTTGCAGTATAGGATTAGTTTATTTGACCTGCGTCAAGGGCTGTTGACTAGGAAACCTGGGATAAGATACACAGTCTGGAGAGAGAGACAAAGAGAGACAGAGAGAGAGAGAGAGGAAGAAAGGAGGGAGGGAGGAAGAAAGGAAAGAAGGATGGGAGGGAAGAAGGGATGGAGGACAAGCACATATAAAGAATCTCTGTGAGGGGCGCCTGAGTGGCCCAGTCAGTTAAGTGTCCAATTCTTGGTCTTGGCTCAGGTCTTGACCTCAGGGTCCTGAGTTCAAACCCCGCATTGGGTTCCATGCTGGGCGTGGAGCCACTTAAAATAAAAAAAAAAAAAATCTCTGGGGGCGCCTGGGTGGCTCAGTTGGTTAAGCGACTGCCTTCGGCTCAGGTCATGATCCTGGAGTCCCGGGATCGAGTCCCGCATCAGGCTTCCTGCTCAGCGGGGGGTCTGCTTCTCCCTCTGACCCTCCTCCCTCTCATGCTCTCTGTCTCTCATTCTCTCTCTCTCAAATAAATAAATAAAATCTTTAAAAAAAAAAAAAAGAAAAATCTCTGTGACTGGTAATAAGGGTTTTGAAGCCAAGAGTGTCCGGTACACCACAGTACAAGGCATCATGGGACACAGCAGAAGAGCAAGACTGGAAGTATAGAGAGCAAAATATTAGCAGTGGTCTGTCTTCATGGTGGAGTAATAAATGGTATTATTCATTCATTACTGTTTCATTCATTTATTCATTACTATCCATGCATTATTATTATCATTGTTGTCCACTCATTCAATTTATGGTTTAATGTACTTTCCAAGTTTTCAATGAGGAACATATATTAAGTTCATAATAAGTAAAAATTCATTTTAAAAAAGATTCTCATGTCCAAAGTAGCCAAACCGGATTTGGTGCTCTCTTCACAAGCTTTCACAGCTTCTACAGACTATTAAATCTCTACACTCAAGCAATAATCCGCTTAATATGTGATTATTACTAAACTTCAGGTTATCAATTCCTTCTTTTCTTTCATTAGCCCTCTAACAGAAGTAGAGTGGGACATAAAAGCAGCAAGACTGCCCAACCAATGTTCTCCTCACAACTGAAACTCACACACATACAAACACGTGTGTACCCGCGTGCAAGGGCACACGCACACACACGCACACACGCATACACACAGAGTGACAAGTTTAAGCCACCACTTGAGGATGTAAATCAGAGATAGTTTCCCCTTAACAGAACCTACAACCGCCGCTTATAAGTATGTTTTGAATGCGATCAGTGGGATCAGTGGGAAAGGAAAAAATCTTCATTTACATTCCACACTTACATCTGATCTAAATATATACATTGCATTAAAGACCACTCAGAAGTGACCTTCTTTTAAAATAAATAAAGCAGTTTAAGCTCTTTATTCACGTATGATGGTTTCCTTGCATGTCCTAAAAACAGGACAATGAATTAGTCTACATCTTCCTTCCCACCTCTGAACAGTCAGAGTTGGAGACCTTTTCTCTCTCTGTCCAATTATAGCTCAATATTACACATAGTCACTTTCTGGCCTCATTCAGTTGAAAGGTGTCCCTTCTGGCTTAGTTCCTCCAGAGGAAAAACTTGGCTTCACCACACAGGAATCCTGGATTTAAATTTCTCACCCTGCTGGTAGGAAAAACAAAACAAAACAAAACCAACTCTCTGATTGCCTTCACTGGTCTGGGTTTCAGCTGCCTCATGCGTGAAATGGAAAGAAACGACCTTTCTTTCCTGACCCATATAATCTCCCGTCCTCCCTTCAGGGCTCTGTAGCTTGATGCCCTACACGGAGCTTCACCTGTGTTCCAGGACACTCGGGGGGCATTTGTATCCGCTGTTCTGATGGAGATGTGGACGGTGATAGGTGCACTCCTTTCGAAGAAGAAATCATAAACCTCCACCTCCACCTGTAAACAAACCTTTGCATAAGAATCACACATTGACAATTTATAACATAAAATACCATTATTCCTGGGGCAGACACCACAGATGGAGGCAAAACAGATTTAGGTTTCTGCTGTTCCTTGATCTCATTTTTCTTAAGGATTCATTTATTTATTTTAGAGACAGAGAGAGGGGGCATGCAGGGGGAGGGGCAGAGGGAGAGAGGCAGGCTCCCTGCTAAGGGTGGAGCCCGATGCGGGGCTCAGTCTCACAACCCTGAGATCACAATCTGAACCAAAATCAAGAGTCAGATGCTTAACTGACTGAGCCACCCAGGCGCCCCGCCTGATCTCATTTTTGACAGCCTGATATCACGTTTTCAGGCTCTAGATTTTGTTCCTTAGTTAACAGTATTTTTAAATTTTCCTCTCCATAAAAGAAGTTTTTAACCTGAAATAAACAAATACACTGAAGAAGGGTCCCTGCAATTGCTCAGGAGACCAGCATCAGACCACTCAAGCCTCTCTCAAAGGTATAAGGTCTAGAGAAGTGCATCTTAACTAAGGGGACTTTGTTCCCCCAGGGCACATTTGGGAATGTCTGGAGACATTTTTGGTCTCACAAATGGGTATGCGTGGTGGGCAGTATTACTGACCAATGGAGGACAGAGGCCAGGGATGCTCCTATTACTACCATGCACGGGACAACCCCCACAACAAAGAATTATCCAGTGCAAATGGCCAGTGGTGCTGCTTTTTTTTTTTTTAAGATCTTTTTTTTTTAAGATTTATTTATTTGAGAGAGCGAGAATGAGAGAGAGCACATGAGAGGGGGGAGGGTCAGAGGGAGAAGCAGACTCCTCGCTGAGCAGGGAGCATGATGCGGGACTCGATCCCAGGACTCCGGGATCATGACCTGAGCTGAAGGCAGTCGCTTAACCAACTGAGCCACCCAGGCGCCCCAGTGGTGCTGCTTTTAAGAGACCCTGGTCTCCAGGCATCTATCTCTCCAAACATATTTTTAAATATCCAGATTGTATTTGCTTCCATGAAATCCATAGCTAATAAATGGGGCTATATGATAAGATTTTTAAAATATTTATTTGAGAAAGCACAAGACAGAGCACGAGCGGGGGGTGGGGGGTGCAGAGGGAGAAGCAGGCTCCCCACTGAGCAGGGAGCCCAACACAGGGCTCCATCCCAGGACCCCGGAATCATGACCTGAGCCAAAGGCAGACGCTTAACCAGCTGAGCCACCCAAGTGCCCCATTAAGTTTAGAACCTCATTATGTATGATGCACATATTGCACCAGGTGCTGACAGGGAAGGATGATTTATAAGACAGAAATGCAAGGCACATGCCCATTCTTGAAGAATGCCCATTTGACATTGAATGTCCATTTGGTCCATTAGAGAGCATAAATTATCAAACGGCAATATATCAGCTACCTCACAAAAGAAACAGATTCAAGGCTGCCACAGTAACAGACTAAAAATGGAACCATAACCCAGGAGGGATGTGTTTTGGAGGTATAATGTAAATGTCTATTAGGTTGAGCCACATGAAATTGTAGGTCACATGCTCACTAAGAAACACTGTTTTCAAACCAACAGAGTACCTAGTAAAATAAGCTTGAATTTTCATGGCTGAAAGAATGGACCGCCTTGGCATTACAGTGCAGGGAAGGCTCAGCTAGCTTCAGGAGCCCTGGACATTGCTCTGCCCTCAGGGGTCCCACCCCAGGTGGCTGACTGAGCCCAGGGCTTCCAGTCCATGTAATCTACAAAGCACCTAATCTCCACTGAGAAAATTGAGAGTCACCTTCTAAGAACAACGGCAAAATCACACATTTGAACAAGTTCTGCTTTAAGATTACATTATATGATCCCAGAAAAGACACATAGGAAGCAGCCAGAGCAGGTGAGCTTTATTTATGAGTTTGAGGTAAAACTGGGCGTCGAATGAGAAATTACTTTATAATATGGAAGGAATGGGAGGCAAGAGGAAGAAAGAAAAAAACAGCTGCCACTTACTATTATGAAGAAAAGAAAAGAAAAAAAAAAAAGAAAAAAGAAAAGGAAAGGGCAAAAGCATGGCATTTACAGTCTGAAGTCTTTTGTGCCCTGGAGGCTAAATGCTGAAAATGCCTAAATTAGATGAAGGACAATTTGGAACACCAGGCACAATCATTTTCCTTAATAAACCTGAAGTGAAGTCTGTATCAATCTGCTCATTTAAACATTCCATCCTGTTAGAATCAACTTGCTGGTAGGTCTGTAAGTTTGTGAAGACTGTCACCAGCTGTTCTCAACTCCCATCCAAAACAAAATTAGAGGAAAGAGGCTGGAATAACAGCCAAAGGTACTTGGTTTAGACAGGAAGGGGACTTTCCTGTGTTTGATAGAGAAATTAGTCATCCAATGAGATTATGGAATGTCCTGTCCTGAGTCGGCATTATTCATTAAAATTAAAGATCCCAGTAAAACACTCATCCAAACAAAAAGGAATAATAGGATTTATTTTTTTAAAGATTTTATTTATTTATTTGACAGAGAGAGAGACAGCAAGAGAAGGAACACAGGCAGGGGGAGTGGGAGAGGGAGAAGCAGGCTTCCTGCCGAACAGAGAACCCAATGCGGGGCTCAATCCCAGGACCCCAGGATCAAGACTTGAGCTGAAGGCAGACGCTTAATGGCGTCCAGGTGTTCCAGGAATAATAGAATTTATTAATGAGGGGTGCTTGGGTGGCAAAGTGGGTTGAGTGTCCGACTCTTGGTTTCAGCTCAAGTGGTAATCTTAAGGTCATGGGATCGAGTCCCGCATGGGGCTCCACACTCAGCACAAGGTCTACTTGAGATTCTCTCTCCCTCCCCTTGCCCCTCCCACTTGTGCTCTCTCTCTCTCTCTCTTTCTCTCAAATGAATAAATAAATCTTTAAAATAAAAAGACTTTGTTAATGAAAGGATTGTAGACAAAGTCATCCCTAAGTTCCATGGCCTATGCCAGGCAGAAAGACTGTCAAGGACATGAGAGTTCTTAAACTGGTGAGTTCTGGGCCAAATGTGGCCCTCAGAAGTATTTTGTAGCTGGCACAATATGTTTTAGAACCTTTAATATGTACTCTGTATTTAAAAATTAAAACATTTTTACAAAACACAGATTTCCAAGTCCTCTGAAGAACAAGAGCTAAGACTACCCTAGGTGCGTCCCAATTTGTCTGTATTCACACAGGATGGCAATCACTAGCGCTCCGATGCAGGGGCCTCTGACACTGTCAGCTCTTTCTTCCACTCCCCACCGTCTCCCCGCAGGCGGGTTTGCTCACTGGCATCACCAGTGGCTCCTCTAAGCATTTGAATCTGCATCTAGATTGACAGTGACTGATTCTCTTCTGAGGCACTGACGTGCAAACTAACCTGAAGGTGCAGGGAAGTGGCCTGCCTCTTCAGTAACTCTGTGGATAGCAGACGGGCCAGACGCTTTGTCTCCCTTTCTTCCTACCTCGTAATGTCTCCGTGCAGAATAGCTGCTGTTCGGTGGCTGGTAGGCTATCTGCATGTCACTCAGATCTTTCCAGGTGAACGAGGAGACGGGTCTGGTGTGATCCCACAGATGAGTCACGTAGCCCTGGGGTGGGGCTTTCGTAACGTTGAACACCAGCAAGGGCTTAGGGGTCTCATCCTCTTCACAGTCCAGGACGGATGTAGTCAAGGAGGTCAGGATAAACTGATCCACTTCCAGAATAAACATGGCCATGAACGCGGCCCTTGGAATCTGATTAGGAAAGCCAGCTCTGATATAGACGGGCAACCACGCACTCTCTGACTTTTGAAGGGGAAAGAAAATATGAAGGGGAAACAATATGAATGAAGCTATCACATACATGGTTAATAGTCTGTAGACGGTGTGTCTGGCAGTGACCTGAAACCTGGCTGCACATTAGAATCATTGGAGAGTTTTAAACACATACTGATGCCCAAGCTCCATCTCCACAGGTTCTAATTTAATTGTTGCAAAAAAGGGAAACTGAGGGTTGCTGGAGTGGTGGGGGGTGGGAGGGATGGGGTGGCTGGGTGATAGACATTGGGGAGGGTATGTGCTATGGTGAGCGCTGTGAATTGTGCAAGACTGTTGAATCACAGACATGTACCTCTGAAACAAATAATATATGTTAAAAAAAGAAGATAGTAGGAAGGGAAAAATGAAGGGGGGTGGGAATCGAAGGGGAGACGAACCATGAGAGACTATGGACTCTGAGAAACAAACTGAGAGTTCTAGAGGGGAGGGGTATGGGAGGATGGGTTAGCCTGGTGATGGGTATTAAAGAGAGCACGTTCTGCACGGAGCACTGGGTGTTATACACAAATAATGAATCATGGAACACTACATCAAAAACTAATGATGTAATGTATGGTGATTAACATACATAATAATGAAAAAAAATTGTTGCAAAAAAGGGACCAGAAAACTGGTATTTTTAAAAGCTCTCTGGTGACTCCAATATGTAGCCAGGATTGAAAGTGGACATTCATTTGGCATCAGAAGGAACTGTCCTTTTGATTCTATTTCCAGCACTTATGATTTGTGTGATTTTAAACAAGCTATTTAACTCCTAAGCCTTTTCCCCCCATTTGTAAAATGCAAATGCTGGACCCCTGAGTAATAAGTGAGGATCAAATGAGATAGCCAAAGTAAAGCTCTTAGCAGTGTCTGGCACACCCCACTTACCTCCTCTGGCCACCCTGCCCACTTCCTGCCATGTGGTTTGAAAGAGGGCAAAGGCAGGATGAAGGAAAATGTCTCTATAACTCAGACTCATGCAACTGAAGGATGGTGGCTCAGCTGTCCAGTTAGTTAAGACCCTGAGTCCCCAGGTGATGAGTAGGTAATTAAAACTGAAAACTACCAATCAGGCTAGAAATGTACCCTCAAATGAGAGAGCTATGAGCAAGTGGCCCCAATAATGGGGATCTCCAGAGAAACCAGGAAATTGCATCTTGGGATCTGAGGCGTCAACAGGTGCTATGAGGAAGAATCCTCAAAGCAGGAGATGCTGGTTTTCATGGGACTTGGTGTTTCGCATTGTTAAGAATGACCCTGAACGATAAGAGTCACATACAATATGCAGAACACTGGATATTGGACTAGAAGTTGTAATCTGCATGTAACGAAATGATAAAAACAGAATTCTTTTTGGTTTGGTCTCAACTGAAATTCCAATGAAAGAGATATCAGATTTCAAAATGAATGTGACAGCAATACTACAGGCAGTATTTACAAAGCAAATTGTCTGGAACTGGTCTAGAACCCTCTCACCCACTACAAGAATAGAAGAGGGTCGAGAGGGGTAAGAGAAAGATTTATTTGTAGAGAAGAGTGCTTTGCTGTGCTGAGTCACTCCCTCGATCCCCAACCCCACCCAACCCCATGAAGAGGAAAGGTGGGCAATGCTACATTTGTCCTGGGTGTCAGGAGAGAAGTTTCCTTGAGGCCAGCCTTAAATGTATCTTTTACAGGTGAGATACAGAGGACTGATGCTGGGCTCCTACAGGAGGAAGCGAAGGGGCCAGACGCAGAAAATACTGGTGCCTCTTCTGGGATCTGCCTAGCCTTTGTTTGTGGCAAGGAAAAACATATGGGGGCTCCCACATATGGGCTGAGTGGGACAGAGGGTTGGTTTGGGGTCATCCTGGACCCTGACTTTTGGGGGGCATCTGTGAGAAGCCAAAGAAAGGCAGAAACAGGCAGCTGGGGGTGGAAATAATCCTAGGAGCTATGGGAGAAATTGCAAGTGAATACTCAGGCTAGAAAGGACTCCTCTGGAGACCCACCAGAAGACCACCTCCAGGATGGGAGATCCCCAGAGAAACCACAGAATTGTCCTGGAGACAAAGAATAAGCTGGAAACACTTGCCAGAGTTACAGAGCATGAAGTTATATTCCATCAGTGTCTGATCAAATAAGACCTCTCTCCGCAATGCTCTGCACAAACCAAGCCCCCTAAGACCAGAAATTCCAAAACCAGCCAGCAAAACTCCAAAGAAAGAAGTGCAACAGAGAAAGAGAAAAGAAGACAATCAACCCCTCTCTCCTCCCACTGCATGCTTAATGAAGACAAATTAATAATATGCTGAGACTTCTTAGGGTTCAGAGTATCTATTCTTCACATGCCACTTAAAAAAACTATTTAAAGGGGTGCTTGGGTGGCTCTGTTGGTTAAGCATCCGACTCCTAATCTCAGCTCAAGTCTTGATCTCAGCTCAGATCTTGATCCCAGCTCAGATCTTGATCTCAGGGTTATGAGTTCAAGCCCCGCACTGGGCTCCACGCTGGACATGGAGCCTCCTTTAAAAAAAAAATTATTTAAAAAGTCATAATGTTAAAAATTCAAGAATGGGAAAATCATGGTATAAAAGGACTGGTGCTGAACAGTAGGAGCATTAAGAGTAGGAGACTTTAACACCCCACTCACTAATGGGCAGATTGTCTAAGCAGAAGATCAACAAGGAAATAAGGGCTTTGAATGACACACTGGACCAGATGGACTTCACAGATATATTCAGAGCATTCCATCCTAAAGCAACACAATACACATTTTTCTTGAGTGCACATGGAACATTTGCCAGAATAGATCACATACTGGGTCACAAACCAGTCTCAACTGGTACCAAAAGATTGGGATCATTCCCTGCATATTTTCAGATCACAATGCTTTGAAACGGGAATTCAATCACAAGAGGAAATTTGGAAAGAACTCAAATACATGGAGGCTAAAGAGCATTCTACTAAAAAATGAATGGGTCAACTGGAAAACTAAATAAGAATTTTAAAAATTCATGGAAACAAATGAAAATGAAAACACAACTGTTCAAAACCTTTGGGATGCAGCAAACATGGTCCTAAAGGGAAGTATATAGCAATACAAGCCTTTCTCAAGAAACAAGAAAGGTCTCAAATATACAACTTAACCTTACACCTAAAGGAGCTGGAGGAAGAACAGCAAATAAAGCCTAAACCCAGCAGGAGAAGAAAATTAATAGATTAGAACAGAAGTCAGTGAAATAGAAACCAAAAGAACAGTGGAACAGATCAATGAAACTAGGAGCTGGTTCTTTGAAAGAATTAATAAGATTGATAAACCCCTGGCCAGACTTATCAAAAAGGAAAGAGAAAGGACCCAAATAAATTAAATCATGAATGAAAGAGGAGAGATCACAACCAACACCAAAGAAAAACAAACAATTATGAGACCGTATTATGAGAACTATATGCCAACATATTAGGCAATCAGGAGGAAATGGATGCATTCCTAGAGACATATAAACTACCAAAATTGAAACAGGAAGAAATAGAAAACTTGAACAGACCCATAACCAGCAACCTCTTCAACCTCAGCTGCAACAACTTTTGGCTATACACATCTCCAAAAGCAAGGGAAACAAAGGCAAAATATTTATTTTAAAAATAAATAAAGGAAATACAACTTTAACATTTAATTGATCAGCAAGGGAAACAGAGGCAAAAATGAACTATTGGGACTTCATCAAGGTAAAAAGCTTTTGCACAGCAAAGTAAACAGTCAACAAAACCAAAAGACAACCTAAAGAATGGGAGAAGATATTTGCAAATGACATAGCAGATAAAGGGCTAGTACCCAAAATCTATCAAGAACTTACCAAACTCAACACCCAAAGAACAAATACAAATCAAAACCTCAATGAGATACCACCTCCCACCAGTCAGAATGGCTAAAATTAACAAGTCAGGAAACGACAGATGTTGGCGAGGATGCAGAGAGAGGGGAACCCTCCTACACTGTCAGTGGGAATGCAAGCTGGTGCAGCCACTCTGGAAAACAGTATGGAGGTTCCCCAAAAAGTTGAAAATAGAGCTACCCTATGACCCAGCAATTGCACTACTGGGTATTTACCCCAGTAAATGTAGGGATCTGAAGGGGCACCTGCACCGCAATGTTTATAGCAGCAATGTCCACAATAGCCAAACTATGGAAAGAGCCAAGATGTCCATCGACAGATGAATGGATAAAGAAGAGGTGGTATATATATACAATGGAATACTATTCAGCCATCAAAAAAATGAAATCTTGTCGTTTGCAACAATGTGGATGGAACTAGAGGGTATTATGCTAAGTGAAATAAGTCAATCAGAGAAAAACAAGTATCACATGATCTCACTGATATGAGGAATTTGAGAAACAAGACAGAGGATCACAGGGGAAGGGAGGGAAAAATGAAACAAGACAAAACCTGAGAGGGAGACTAACCAGAAGAGACTCTTAATCTCAGGAAACAAACTGAGGGTTGCTGGAGTGGAGGGAGGTGGGCAGGATGGGGTGGCTGGGTGATGGACATTGGGGAGGGTATGTGCTATGGTGAGCACTGTGAATTGTGTAAGACTGATGAATCACAGAACTGTACCCCTGAAACAAATAATACATTATATGTTAATTTTTAAAAAGTTAAAAAAAAAAGTAAACAGTTGATCAAAAGACAATCAGCAGAATGGGAGAAGATATTTGCAAACGTCTTATCAGATAAAGGGCTATTATCCAAAATCTATCAAGAACCTACCAAACTCAACACCCAAAGAACAAATAATCCAATCAAGAAATGGGCAGAAGACATGAACAGACAGTTCTGCAAAAAAAGACATCCAAATAGCCAACAAACATGAAAAAATGCTCTACATCACTCTGCATCGGGGAAATACAAATCAAAACCACAACGAGATACCACCACATGCCAGTCAGAATGGCTAAAATTAACAAGTCAGGAAACGACAGATATTGGCAAGGATGTGGAAAAAAGGGAACCCTCTTACCCTGCTAGTGGGAATGCAAGCTGGTGCAGCCACTCTGGAAAACAGTATGGAGGCTCCTCAGAAAGTTGAAAATAGAGCTACCCTATGACCCAGCAATTGCACTACTGGGTATTTACCCAAAAGATACAAATGTAGTGATCCGAAGGGGCACCTACACCCCAATGTTTATAGCAGCAATGTCCACAATAGCCAAAACACGGAAGGAACACAGATGTCCACTGACGGATGAATGGATAAAGAAGAGGTGGTATATATATACAATGGAATACTACTCAGCCATTAAAAAAATGAAATCTTGTCGTTTGCAACAATGTGGATGGAACTAGAGGATATTATGCTAAGTGAAATAAGTTAATCAGAGAAAGACAATCAACATATGATCTCACTCATATGTGGAATTTAAGAAACAAAAGAGAGGACCATAGGGGAAGAGAGGGGAAAAGTAAAACAAGATGAAATCAGAGAAGGAGACAAACCATAAGAGACTCTTAATCACAGGAAACAAACTGAGGATTGCTGGGGGGGTGGGGTAACTGGGTGTTGGACATTAAGGAGGGCACGTGATGTAATGAGCACTGGGTATTATATAAGACTGATGAATCACTGAATTCTACCTCTGAAACTAATAATACATTGTTAACTGAATTTAAATTTTAAAAATTAAAAAAAAAGACAGTGTGGGCAGTTGATATTGATAAAATATACAAGACAAGGATTCTTATAAGCATCATTATATTTAATATTCTGGCCAAACCAGTGGGGAACAGAGCAAAAATAAGAGGAATAATTACTGAAAAAGAAAGGACAAAATTATCATCATTAGTGAAAGATATAATTATGGTCTTCCAAAGCCCAAAGAACTGAAAAATTCTTAGAATAATTGAATTCAAGAAAGAAGCCAGATAAAAGAAAATTATACCAAAAAATAGCTTTCCTATTTATCATCAGTAACCAAAGAGAAGATATAATGGAGGGAAAAGTGTCTATTCACAGTAATTTCCCAAAAGCAAACTGCCTAGGACCGGACTTAATAAGTGTGCTCAACTTACATGAAGAAAACTGCAAATTTTACAGAAACACATCAAATAACATTTGCCTAGATGAAGTGAGGTCCCTCATTTCTGGATGAGAAGGCTCAATGGGTAAATGTTCTAATATTCCAATTATTTCCAAAATACTTTAGTTTTAATCCAATCCTGATAAAAATACTTAGGGTCTTTTCTTTAATGGCATAAATGATTTAATTCTTTATTGAGAACTAAGATCAGGAGAGAATGGATAAGAAAACTTTGAAGACAAGTGATAAGGAAGAACTTGCCTGTAAAATATTAAAGTGTATTATTGACCTTTTATATTTAGAATAACTGATACTGGCACAGAAATAAGGAGGCATATCTAAGGAACAAAAGAGCTAGCCTTGAAATAGTATACATAATATCTTTTATTCAATAGAAGAAGCATCAAAAATCAATGAGAAACGGGTTCATTATTCAACAAATAGTGCTGAAAATTTTGACTACTTGGGAAAAAAACTGTTCCTGTGTTTCACAATATGATAAAATTCATTTCAGATTGATTAAAAAGGCAAATGTAAACAAGAAAACCTTAAGAATCTAGAAAAAATTATGGATGAAATAGTCATTTGGTCACTTGATGAGGATGGACTGTACAAGTATAAAAATAATAACAAGATTCAAAATCTTCAAATATAGTATAAATTCAGTTGCATAAAACAAAACCAACATTGGTGTGCATGTCTCCTTACCGTGTGTGTGTGTGTGTGTGTATGAGATAAGTGGGAGAAATATAACTCGTTTTGCCTTCTTATTTTGCTTTCTGTGTGTTTTTCAAAAAAATACTCTCTGCAGTAAACATATGACTTTGATATTCATAAAAGAATGTTTTATGACATGCCAAACTGCCTATGGAGTAGGTTAATTAATAAAACAAGAAGGTCATTTTAAGGAGTAAAATCCCAAACTGATCTAAAAATATAAACAATAAAGCCCTAACTCAATATAGAGAGGGAAAATAGGAAAATCAGTCAGGAAGAAAAATGGGTCTAATTTTTTAAATGGAGATAAGAAGTCAATAAAAGTGAAAGTTTTGGGGTGCCTGGGTGGCTCAGTCTGTTAAGCATCTGACTCTTGATTTCAGCTTGGGTGGTGATCTCAGGGTCCTGAGATTGAGCCCTGCATCAGGCTCTGCTTTGAGCATGGAGCCTGCTTGAGAGTCTCTCTCTCCTTCTCCTTGTGCTGCGCCCCGCCCCCACTCACTCTCTCTCTCTCTCTCAGAATAAAATAAAATAAAAATAAAAATCTTTTTGTGTCAAAAAGATGAGAAGATATCTATTAATAGTTAGGAGACCTAGGAATTAGTCTTGGCTCAGTCATAAAACGGCTATGTATGTATGGGCAAGGTATACAATTTCTCTGACCACCATTATACAACAAGATGTATGGGCTAAGCCAGCTGTTTCCAAACCTAGCTGATGATCCATTTTTTTCCCCAGGTGGCTTTTTTAACTAGCAAAGTATGCACAGTGCTTACTATGTGCCAGACTTTGTGCCAACTGCTCTATAAGTATTATCTCATTTCTTTCTCTCAATTATTCTAAGAAGTAGGTTCTATTATTCCCATTTTAAGATTTTTTAAAATGAGGCATAAAATCCAAAGTCAAATAGCTAGTTAAACAGACATCTGAACCCAGGCAAACTGGGCCCAGCGTTCATGTTCTTAGCTATTAATGTTAGGCTCAGAAATCTATCCTTTAAAATTCACCAAGTGATTTGCCTAATCAATTTGATCAGACCATCTTAAAGTGTTTTTTTTACCTCAATTCTAAAATTTTCTGATCCTGTTTTGTCATTTTCTTACTGTTTTTTATCTTATAAATTCCTTGGGGGTGACAATGCTCAGTATCTGAGTTTCTTGGGAGATATCTGGTGAGAAGTCAAATTTTGAAAGAGGGAGGTCTTTCATGAATGTAATCTTGGATCATCTTATGTCAGCACAAAATCCAAGCTGTTTCAGCTGGTACACAGTTGCCCCAAATAAAACAAATTATAGATCATATGAATCAGTTAAGTAGCATGTTAAATATTTCATATAAATTGATTTCATCTTCTACCTTCATTTCAATGTGAGGAGATCAATAGGAGGAAAGGGCAGGAGGAGTTGAAAGAGACTGAAAGATGGAGGAGGCCTTGTGGGGGGCCTGTCTCCTTGATGACCTGGTCTTCCATCTCAGAGTCTAAAAGAATGAATAGGATATAAGCTGCTACACCCATAATACAGGGACTGAGTTTCCCCCTGCCCTCAGTCTCCCACGGCCTTGCCTAGTCGATATGTGGACCCCCTAATTTCCTCTAACAGGTGAAAAGAGGTTATACCAAAGAAGGGGGAATGAAGCCTCAAAGAGAGGGTGCTACGAAAGACCAAATGACAAGCTAAAGAATACTGAAGGGAGAGGGGGAAGAAGGGTAGCATGTAAATGGCCCCAGTCCTTCCTCCATTGCCTTAGTGGTGGCAGAGCTAGAAGAGAGGCAGGGAAGGGAAATTATACACGGATATTTTGCAGTTCTAATGAGTCACTGGGCAGTTCCACCCACGGTAGCTCAGGAACTGGCCCTGGCATGGCAGCCAGCACAAGCACCCTCAGGGAAGTGGCTCTCTTGCTGCGGATCAGTTGGGGACGCAGACACATAACCCCCAACTCTACCTTGTATACAATTTTGCTCCTGCCATCTGTGAGGTCCAGCTGGATAGAGATGTAGTCAATGTTGGGAGAAGGGGGATCCGTGTGTTGATAACGAAGACCCATCAGCAAGAACTCCTCACAGCTCACGTTGACACTTCCCATTTTCTTCAGTCCCAGGGCACAGCTTCCACCTGGACACCTCAGCTCTGTTCCCAGTTCTAGAACATATAGCACTGAGTTAAGACAGTCACTTGAGCATGATTGTAAAATTAAAAAACCAATCCACCCTCCCGTGGATACTAGCTGCCTCAGGAATACCCATGCATACCCTCTAATCATTCACAAAGGGGGTTGGCATTATTCTATAATCCCTAATTTCTTTTCCTGAAAAGAACGGTTGACCAGTTGTCTCCTGAGATCCTTGCCCACTGAAAGTTACATTGAGAGAAAAAATAATAAAATACATATTCTGATGACCAAACATCCCTGATGAATAGGCCACTCGGTCACAACTGGCCTTCCACAGTCTAGTGCTGGTCTTCCTTCACAGCATCGACATCCACAGCTCTGTCATGCACTCTCTCCAAGGCTGTTCTACTCGCTGAAATTCTCTCCCCACTGTGTTCATCACACCCGAGTCCTGATACCTCTCCAAGTCCCCTTAGTCTTTTTACTAAACCGTCCTTTAAGTACTCTTTGACCGCCTGAACCAACCTGCTCTCTCCCCCTAAAAACCACCATCATCTCTGCAATAGTCTCTCTCTCTCTCTGCCCAACTTCATTTTACACTCTTGTGGGGTAATACCCAGAGGCCACTTATTTTCTGAGTGGCCTTTTGTACATTTCCCTGATGTATAAAATGAGTATTCTACTTCTTAACCAGATGGTCGTGAACACTAAATGGGAGGACTCATGTGCAAGCATGCCTTTAGTTGTAAATTGTTGCCCAAATTCAAGGTATTACTATGATTGGGATTATTGGTCTTTCCACAGTGCCTAGAACATTATGATGCACATAGGAGGTGCCCAAAATACACTGATTAGATGAATAACAGAAGGAACATTATCCATCAACTCCTCCTGATTTAAACCACGGCTACTGGCCACCTGCTCTACGTCAGACTTACCTGTAATCAAAACATACTTAATAAATACACCACCTACTCTTACTACCACTGCCATTGTTACTATGAATAATAATAACTGACGATCACTGAGCCCCTGCTATGGGCCCGACACCGTGTGAAGCCCACTTCGTGCATGTGATCTCATTTACTCCAGCTTGCCGCAAACTTGTGGAACAGCTACTATCCTTGCTCATTTTACGGAGGCTTCACCAGGTTAGATAACTTACCTAAAATCACATAGGAAATAAAGAGCAGAGGCAGTTTCAAACCCAGGTCTCACTGATTCCAAAGTCCATACTCTTAACCACCAGCCTACATTGTTCAACCAGCAACAAATTATTATATCAAGTAAAAATTTCTGTCGCAGTGGAAGATGACTATGAACAGATGTTTTTGTCAGTTCTAATAATAATCAGATATGTATTAAAACATACATATGAGGGGTGCCTGGGTGGCTCAGTCGGTTAAGCATCCGACTCTTGGTTTCGGCTCAGGTCATGATCTCAGGGTCGTGAGATCGAGCCCCGAATCAGGCTCCATGCTCAGCAGGGAGTCTGTTTGAGATTCTCTCTCCCCTTCTCCCTCTACCTCTCCACCGTTCTCTCTCCCTCTCCCCTCCCCCTCTCTCTCATAAATAAATAAACCTTTAAAAAAACAACAATAATAACAAAAAAGAACAGCATACATACGAGACTCAGGGAAAAAACTGTGTGGCTGATCGCCACGAGGTTTTTCTGGCCGAGGCTCCAGCAGGACCATCTGACCATGGGCTGGCAGCCGGCTTCCCACAGGATCCAGCCTGACCGTACACTCCAGGCCGGCTGTCCTCTCGTAATCAAATCTGAGCAGGTTCTTATCAATGGCTCTGGACAAGCCATAGAATTCAGACACCTCCAGGACATTGTTACTCCTACGGATGATGTTACAGTCGGGTTCCAGGAGATAGACCCGCAGGATAAAGGTTTCCGTGAAGGTATCTGTCTCAGTAAATCTGTGGAGAGAACAGAGCCAAGCGATGTTTACTAGCGCTCAGGTACTTCCGGTAGCTAATGATTGACCTTTACAAAATGCGCCTATGGGGTAGAGTTTGGATTTTGTTATCTACTCTACTCCCAATCTCTGTTCTTTTCCTTTCTTCTTATCTTGGTGTCAACTCCTTTTTCTGCCATCTCCCACGCCAATGAGCTTTCTTTCAACACCTTCTCTCAAACCCACCATCTATGCTGATATATAATAACAGCTGGGAGCTCAGAGTCTCACTGCTAGCACATCCATAATTTAAGAGTACCAAGCTTGTGTAATTAATTTACAGATTGAGTTTTGATTCAGGAGTGAAAGGGTGAGGAGTTTCTGAAGCAGCAACACCTTTTGGCTCTTCAGAAACCTATGAGAGACATTGTTAATTCCATTTTACAGAGGGGGCAACTGAGGCATAGAGAGGCCAAGTAGCTCACCAAAGGGGCTGAAGAGGAGGTGAGTGGGGGAATAAGCACGTTCTCTGATTTTCTGCCTCCAACGTCTCTGAATACTCTATTTCAAATGTCCTCAAGACCAAGAGGAGCTCCTGTGACTTGGTCCTTCTCACCTGCTCCTCCACCCTCTCTGTCCCTTCGAAACTCAGGGAAGAAGTGGGAGAAGCCAGAATCCACCAGCTTTTCCAGCCCTTCCAGGCAAGCTGTCCAACGTTAGTTTTTTAACTCTAAAATCTTAGAAAGATCAAACAGCCCTATATGCTGGTGATAAAGAATCCTTGGGAACGATTTCATTTTTTGAGCACAGCCTCTCTTTCAGCACTTGTTCACATTACCATTATCTACCCATATTTTGCATCAGATTAAGAGCACCAAAAATCCATGCATCCTCATCCTTGTGTTCCCTATGCCCAGCATAGGGCCTTGAGTTTTAGTAGGTGATTTTAAGTGTCTATAGAACAATTCAATGTCCTAGTGTCTTCTATAAAACTCTTTGCAATAGTAGTAGAGTACTTAAGGGAAATTCGCACTAAGATATTTTAGCCAAATATTCATAACAGCAATAAAACCAAGTAAAAATCTACCTAAAAGCCTACTCCACGGGGCGCCTGGGTGGCTCAGTCAGTTAAGCATCTGAAGGCAGATGCCTTCGGCTCAGCTCATGATCCCAGAGTCCTGGGATCGAGCCCCACGTCAGGCTCTCTGCTCAGCAGGGAGTCTGCTTCTCCCTCTCCCTCTGCCTAGAGCCCCACCTGCTTGTGCTCTCGATCAAATAAATAAATAAAATCTTAAAAAAAAAAAAGCCTACTCTACCTACTGCATTGTCAGTTACCTCTATGAAGTGAGCAATACCATAACCATGAGCTTAATTTTTTTTTTAAAAGATTTTATTTATTTATTTGACAGAGAGAGACACAGCGAGAGAAGGAACACAAGCAGGGGGAGTGGGAGAGGGAGAAGCAGGCTTCCCACCGAGCAGGGAGCCCAATGTGGGGCTCGATCCCAGGACCCTGAGATCATGACCTGAGCCGAAGGCAGACGCTTAACGGCTGAGCCACCCAGGCGCCCCACCATGAGCTTAATTTTTAAATTAATTTTTGAGACATAATTCACATACCATAAAAATCACCTTTTTAAAGTATACAACTCAGTGGTTTTTAGTATATTCACAAGGTTGTGCAACCATCACAACTACCTAATTCGAGAACATTTTTATCCCCCCAAAAAGAAATCCATATCCATTAGCAATCACTCCCCATTTGCCCTTCCCCCAGCCCCTGGCAATCACTAATCTGCTTCCTGTGTTTTATGGATTTGCCTTTTCTAGAAAAGTGACCTTTTGTGTCTGGTGTCTTCCATTTCACATGATGGTTTCAAGGTTCATCCATGTTGTAGCGTGCATCAGTACTTCATCCCATTTTATGGCTGAATAATATTCCATTGCATGGATACCCCACATTTTGTTCATACATTCATCAGTTGCGTTCTTTCAACTTCTTAGCTATTATGAATAATGCTGCAATGAAGATTTGTGTGCAAGTTTGGGGGGAAATACAGGTTTTTGTTTCTCTTACATATATATTTAGAATTGCTGGCTCACACAGTTACTCTGTACTTCACTTTATAATTGATTTTGTAAACAATTAGAAGACACTCAGCCACTTATTGACTAAGCAGCTGATAATAAAAATAAAGACAATCATTCAATTTTGGAATATATTTTCCTAGTTCTCATTAAGAATTTGTATTTTGTAATTTTCATTTCCCATTATAAGTGGGAAGGTGGATCACCAGAGACACCTGTATAAGAACTCTAAAGGGGAACAGGACAGAAATTTGCCACAGAAAAGCCCCCAGGACGATGATACAAATAAAGATAATTGAAAGTAGACAACAGGGACGCCTGGGTGGCTCAGTCGGTTAAGCGTCTGCCTTCGGCTCAGGTCATGATCCCAGGGTCCTGGGATCGAGTCCCGCATCGGGCTCCCTGCTCCACGGGGAGCCTGCTTCTCCCTCTGCCTCTGTCTCTCTCTCTGTCTCTCATGAATAAATAAATAAAATCTTAAAAAAAAAAAAAGAAAGTAGACAACAATTCTTGCCTCACCTACTTAGGTCCCCCATTTCTACTGATTGCTTGCTTGTTTGGAATCTAGCAACTAGCCTCGTGATAATATCGATCTATAGAGAAAGCCCTAAGAAGTACACAGAATGGTTATGCGTGCTGCTTACCTGTACAGTCTAAGCTTCACCGCATCTTCATCAAGAATTGGGCAACCATTGTGAATATACTTTACTTCATTGGGAAGGAAATGGCAGTCAAAGACCTAGTTCACGTGAAGAAATGGATAAATATATGTGAAAAAATCGGTACAAGATTTGATTTTTCTGGCAATAGAGTACTGCCTGGGGAAAGTATGGTCTGTTAGTGGGGTGTGTCTATGTATGTAGGCGTGTGCTTGCGCGTGTGCATGTTATAACCACCACCACCTCTACCCACCACCGTGCCCGTCCCCATCCTGCTTATATAGGTGTGTCTTATTGTGAGAATATCTAAACTATGAAAATCCAAGCAGATCAAGCAGATATATTAAGGAGTAATTACCTCTTGAAATGATTCTTTGTTTACAGTTTATAGTACATTTAAACTGTGGTTCCATTTATCAAAATATAATATACCCACACCCTTCAGGGGTTCATAGCAACTGAGTTAGAGGTCTACCTGCGGGTACGCATGAAAAGGCATGCATTACCCCTCAACAAACACGTTGTACTACTTACATTATGTATCTTTGTCTTTTCTTTCTTTCTTTTCTAAATAGCATTTTTATATTCAAAAATGAACCCACTGACTACGGACACTGTTGTGGTTGATCAGAGCCAAACATGACCCAGAGTTGCTTCTCATACACTTGCAAAAGACTGCTCTACTGATTACTAATAGCAGAAATGGTTGATGAGGGGTGCTTGGGTGGTTAAGCATCTGCCTTCAGCCCGGGTCATGATCCCGGGGTCCTGGGACTGAGTCCCGCCTAGGGCTCCATGCTCAGCGGGGAGCCTGCTTCTCCCTCTCCCCTTCTCCCTCCCCGCCCCCCACTCACGCTCTAATAAATAAATAAAATCTTAAAAAAAATCATTGATGAGACAAATAGCAAGCTAAAGGTAATTTCTTCTATTCAAATAAAATTAGAATTAACTGAATCACCTCACTCAGAACTATTAAGGAAATTGCTAACTGTTGTATTTGGGGAACCCTAATTCTCAAAAGAAGAATTTTCTCTCCCAACCACACCACGATTCTCATTCCGCCCTGCCTGACTCGGCAGAGTGTTAAGAAATAGCCTTGCAGTATTGGCACACCGTCACTGTTGAGTCCATGGTCTGTAGTCTATACTTTGTCACAGGCTCAATCATTGACAGGCAACATCGTCCTCTTTGAGAAGACAGTACTACTAATACGAATGATCTTCTTTTCCCACAGACATCATTGGTTCCTCTTTTTAACTGACAAGGAAGGAGATAAAGGAAAGACCTTCCCCGTATCACTGACAAATAGTCATGGTGACAAAGAGACAATCTGCTTTGTTAAAAGAAACATCTGTTTATGTTTCATAATATGTTTTCCTTTTATAAAAGGCGACAACCATAATTGTCCATAAATTTACTAACTAAAACAAAGGAGAGCTAAATCCTTTTCTAATTACTGTCTAGCCTTGGTTTTTTCCACTTCAACTGCTTTTCAATTACAATTTATAATTAAATTGTCACACATTCCTAACTCATTACTCACTTTAATGACAGTAAGCTGGTTCAACCTAGAGATGTTTTCTTACGGCTGTATTTCTGATTCAAAAAAGCAAGCTCAGCTCTAAACTGAGGTGCTTTTCCACCCAGGAAATTTCTTGCTTTGAAACAGGTGTGAGAAGTGCTGTGTGTGAGGAAGTCTTGTCCTAAAACATGAGGAAAACATATTGCCACCGACCTCATCCAATTGACTATATCAAGAGGGTTATCTAAACAGAAGGTACTGGTGTGAGCCAAGTGAAATCCCTCTCCAAATATCCGACAGGAAAATGAACCTGTTGGTCCTAAGACAAACTTCAGTAATGAAATGAAAACACTAATTGAACAGATGTTAAACAAAACATTTTCTGTGCAAATCAAATAAAACTGTTCATTACACAGCAGGGTATTGTTAATACAGTCATCTTGCTAGAAATGGGTTCACATAAGCCTTGCTTTCAGCTTACTGGTAAGTGCTATTAAAGAATAATGTTTAGGCTTTGTGTGTATGCACGCACATTCGGCTATGTTTAACTTCAAAAACGCCATAAGAAATAAATCCTTGGGGAGAGTTGCATTAAAAATAGGCACACATTCCCCCCCCACAAAAAAAAACCAGACTTTACTTAGGAATCTGGTTTTTGTTGAAATTGTCATAATAAAGTAGAAAGATCATCTGGCAGTTTGAGAACGTTTTCTGGGTACACGGACTTCCTTATGGTACAAATATCTGACAGAAAGATAATGAAACTCCACAGTTCAATGGCCTCCTTTTCCACACAATAAATTTTAGAAGATACAAGTCCCGTATTTACTTTAGACCAGATAAATCCATTTGAGCTGCCACATTGACCTCCAGAAATGCGCTCACTGAACATTTTCTTGCACTGAAGTCACAGCACTCGAGGGGACAAGCTGGGACTTTTTGGAACCCCCTCCATGGCCGACCCGTCCAGACTTCCCTAAAGCAGGCAGGCATGCTGTTTCGGCTCCATATTCTTTCTATTAACTGGATTTTGGCCTTCAAATCAGACAAAATTTGGAATGGAGATCTCTTGCAACTCTTGACCCCCAAATAAGTGTTTTACCTGATTGTAGTCACTTAGATCCCCTTTTGCTCTCTAGTATCTCAGAGCCGACCAGATGGTGAAGACCATTAAAACAACACCAATAATACATAATGGAGACAATTTCGTTACTTGCAGAGAAAGCACTATAGATACGTTTATAAGTCATAGGCTATTTGGAATAGGGAGAGGATACTCCTCGGAGGCTGACTTAAGGAACAGTACATTCTCCCCAAATTACTTTCTAAGGAGGGAGAATCTGGTGAAGAATAGGGCTTTTGTTTTGCATGCTTAGGGCCAGAGATAGGCGATATGAATAAGCTCAGCTGCAGAAAATGGAATCCTAACCATAGGGACTCGGTTTGTTAAAAGCAAATCCTTGGAGTTTTGGAGAGCAATAGAGGACCCGTAGGTTGCCCCAGCATACACCAGGAAGAATTGTTTTCTCTTCCCCCACAAAATATTCAGCCTCACTTCTAAATAAATGTTGAACAATTTTTAAAAATATATTGATTGGAAGGGGTACCAAATTATGAGTTCATTACTTTATAAGGCACCCACATATATCCATGCAGCCACGGACACCGGTGTTCTAGGATTAGGGTCCTCTAGTGCTTTCCAAAACTCCAAGGATTTGCTTTTAACAAACCGAGCCCCTATGGTTAGAATTCTATTTTCTGCAGCTGAGCTTATCCATATCACCTACTCGTTGCATTTAGTGCATCTGGGTTGCAGTTATGAGCTATCCCAGGTCTCTCCTCTTTCCAACCAAACACACTTTCACCGGGCACCTGGGTGGCTCAGTCGCTTAAGCATCTGACTTAGGCTCGGGTCATGATCTTGGGGTCCTGGGATGGACCGCAAGATCAGCAGGGAGTCTGCTTGTCCTTCCCCCTGCACGTGCGCTGTCTCTCAAATAAACAAAATCTTAACACCCACACCCCCACCCACACACACTTTTGCAGTGCAAATCGTGTTGGGAGCAAGTGTGAAGATGTTGCAATTCCCAAATACTCAGGAATACAACCCCTTAGGAACTGGGGCCATTACTGTATTCAGACAGTTGGCAGGTGCCCATCAGAAGCTCTGACTAACAAAAGAAAATCTCATGGGAAACTGGAGAGAGACATTTGGTTGCTAACACATCTGGAATACTCCCTAAGTGAGAGTTGTGATGTGTTTCAGAGCTGGACTGTCCTCTGAGTGCGGTAAGTGGAACAGCTTGCGATAGCCACTTGAGTTAGCATCTAAGTCTCCTGAAGTTCGTCTCTACATCATCTAGTACCACTGTTGAGGTAACCTGCTGGGATAAAATTCTTCGGCCAAATGAAGAAGAAACTTAATGTTCACAGTTCACAAATAATGGTGCATGTTTCCAGAAGCAGCACCAGCCAGTGCAGAACATTCTCAAAATTGCCTGCATTGGGAGGAAGTTAAACCACAGTAGGGACAAGTCATAAAACCAGAAACAATTTCCTTATTGTGTAGAGAGGTAAACCCCTACTTCAAGCAAATACAATACATGATAATACAGACTTTTTTTTAACCCAATGACTTAGAAGGTAACTCTTCATCCTACAAAAGGATTGCGCCTAGAATACTCTTAAACGACGAGGTCTCCAAGATCGTGACTAAAGGAAAACATTTGTCTACAGACATTTTTGAAGAACAATGAATATTTAAAGGGAAGTATTTTCACCTCTCTTTTCCACGTCTCTCCTCCCACTCAATGGAATGTTCTAGTGATGGAAACAGATAAAAAATATCTTCACGTCTTACTTGTGCTATTCTGCGATCACAAGTGGGGCCTAAAACACATCTTGAAATCTGCTATCTTATCCAAAGGCATCCTGACTAGGAATGGATGAAATCATTTGGGGCAAGAATAATCCCATAAAGACTGACCATATCACACCACACAGGAGACGGCCCACTCCAGCCCTTGGAAGTCTGTCCCTGCTTTGTTTCCTCTCTCTCTCTCTCTTCTCTCTCTCTCTCTCTTCTCTCTCTCTCTCTCTCACACACACACACACACACACACACTCACTCACTCACATTCATACACATGACTGAATAGAAAAATCTCAGGTAGGACCTACCTGTGGGGTGAGTTTCCCAACCCTTTGAGTCATTGGCTCGTTCATCACAACTTCCACTTTGCAAGCATCTTTTTCTTTGGGGATGGCAAACTTCAGGTCATCTCCCGACAGGAAGGCAGAGCTGCCCTTCAGCAGCCTGAGCCCACGATTAAGGCTGATGAAGGTCGCACCGGCCCAGCCTAGGAGCAACAGCAGGGGCAAAGCCCCGGGCCCACCCCAGGTCGGAGCGCTCATGCCGTCAGGGGCCAACTCCGTTTGTCCACCGGCGAAATCCCTTCAACAAAACAGGGCTTCTGTGCTTCCTCCAGAGATGTTAGCTCATAGTCCAAGGGGCAGCAGGGCAAGGGGTCCCGACAATGTGCCCCAAGATCCTAACATGCCCCTTTCATTTCAAACCCAGACAAGGAGGCTTTTCAGGCAATCCCAGGGCGTTTAATAAAACTCGCTGATCACTCCTGACAACGCCGGCAAGATGAATGTGCCTCCCAAGTGCTTTTCTAATCCTGCAAATGAGAGGAGAGGTTGTAGGAAAGCAAGAGAGAGACCAAAAGGTTTGTGTGGCTATTCAAAAGATCCCTGCCGGCAAAGGAATCTTTCAACCAGCCTATAATTTCAGCTAAATTAAAAACAAATAAACTAACTTGACCTCCAGGCCCATGTGAAAGACAGAGAAGCCATTTCATTACCCTGCTTGTAACTCCCGCTTCCGGATTCAACGCGCCCCTTGTGTCCCACCCCCCCCACCCCGTGGGGATGTCACTTGTGTGGTCCCACGGAAGCCAGCCAGCCTCACCGCCCAAGTGCAGCGCCTGGTCACCTGCGTTCAGAAGGAGTTGAGCTCTGCTTCTGTTTCCTCATCTGTTAAATGAGGACAGCCTAATTTGTAGAAGAGAGCTGACAGAATTATTTGCACGCTGGTTCAAACGCTGATTAATTCTAAATCATCACGACCCAAATAAGAAACGAGCTTCATCATTTGTCCCATGAGCACAGCTCTGACATTGCTGGACAATGAAGACACCTGAGAAGCACTTGAGCGGAACCTGGAGAACAGATATTTTTCTAAGTGAACATTTCAGGGTTTTGCTGATGTGTCAAAGGGACTAGGAATTAAGTCACACGGCTTCATTAGACACAGCTAATGACTCGGCGTATGCATACGTATTCGTATTATCTATGCCGCCAATTACATTATAATGCACTGAATCCGCACAAATGGGGTCTTTGTTCCTCCTTTAACCACTTAGAATTTCAAGATTATTTCTCTGTGTTCCATAACAACAGAAATGACTGCAAAATAAGATGTATTGCAATAAAGACTTAAGTTCAGGGTAGAGTTGGGTGAACCAATGGTGGTTTGCTATGCCCACAGGAAGTCTTTACAGTTTCATGATTTCAACAGATTTCTGCATATAACCAATGGATACTCAAAATGTTTGACCAAAGGGTGTACACAAAAATTTATCCATATCTAATACATCAAGGGAAGACTCATTCTCTTGTCACTGTTTGCAACCATTCATTTCTGAGGCAGTACATAACATGAGTCACCTGATATCTAAGGGGGGTGTGCACTTTACAGAGCAGCCTTTTTTTTTTAATGGCGTCAGTCTTAAACTGAAACAGTTCCCACACTCCCACTGACGGTGTTGCCCACACTCTGGCTGAATTAGGTTGGCTTATTTGGGCAGAAATGCAAACCTGGTTGTTGAACCTTCACTGCAAAGTCAGACCTGGTTTCCATTCACGTTTGGCATCTAAGACCACTCCAAAAAAGCAGCACATTCAGAGAGAAGAGAGTGGCTAAGTGTTTCCCAAAGTGGAGAGATAAGGGGAAAAACTTTGCTTTCTGAGAATTAAATCAACTTGTAAAGGCTGTGAGGATGGCACGCTCTCGTGTATCCCTTTTATCTCACTATTACCTCCCTTCTCTTTTACTGCTTCTTCCTAGATCCCCTGACTTTTTAACGTGGGGAGCCTAGGGTGCAGACCTTGGACCTGGTTTTTGTCTACCCTCATTCCCTAGTGATCTCATTCCTTGGCTTTAAATACCACTTACATGCTAATGAGTCCCAAATTTATATCCCTAACCTCCTCCCTTAACTCTGGATTCCATATGCCACTGTCTATGTGACATCTCCCTGGGGGTATTTAATGGGCATCTCATTCTTCATGTCGCCAAATTTGTGCTCTTGGTCTTCCCTCCCTCCCTCTCTCTGATCTCAGTTAATGGCATCCAACTTTTCTGGTGTTTGGTCTATAGCTAAACAACAGCAACAAAATCCTGTTTGTTCATTGCAGTGGACACACCTTAGGGTGACCTCCAATAATTGCGGCCCCATAGCATCCAGAAGTTCCCTCCCCTTGAGTGAGAGCAGAACCTGTGAGGCTTCCAACCAACAGAATTAGGCACAGGTGATGGGATGTCATTCCCATGGTTACACTATGTAATATAAGAATCTCTCTTAGCAGGCTGGGGCTCCAGGCTCTCCTGATGACCTTGAAGCAGGAAGCCTCCATGAATTCCAGTGTCACAAGGGAATGAATTCTGCCGACAGCCTGAACGAGTTCGGAAGAAGATTCATACTAAATCAAGCCTCCAGATAACACTAGCATCCAGGGGCACCTGGGTGGTCAGTCGTTAAGCGTCTGCCTTCAGCCCAGGTCATGGTCCCCAGGGTCCTGGGATTGAGCCCTGCATCGGGCTCCCTGCTCAGCTGGAAGCCTGCTTCTCCCTCTGCCACTCCCCCTTCTTGTGTTCCCTCTCTCGCTGTGTCTCTCTCTGTCAAATAAATAAATAAAATCTTAAAAAAAAAAAAAGAGACTAGCATCCAGCTGATGCCTTGATTGCAGCCTGAAGCAAGGAACCCAGGTAAGCTGTGACCAGACTCCCGACCAATGTCAACTGTGAAATAAGAAATTTGTGTTGTTTTAAGCCACGAAGTCTGTAGTAATTTGCTTACACGGCAATATAAATTGAATGCACCCTTCTTCAAAACATATCCAGACTCCAACCACTTCTCACTTCCACTGTTGTTATGAAGGCGCAAGCCACACCATCAACTCTTTGTTGGATGACTGCAAATAGCATCCACTTCGACTTCCCTCCTTCTCCTCTTGCCTCCCCTATAGGCATTCTTCAGCATGGCAGCCAAGGGTCCTATTAAATATTACTGAGGTCACTTCCACGCCCCAAACCTCCAATGGCCTCTCATCTTAGTGTAAAAGCCATAAGGCAACCATGTATGTAATGTGTTTCGCCCTTACTTCTCTCATCTCCTCTTCTGTTTGTCCTCCCTTCACTTCCTCTACTCTAGCCCCACTAGCATCTCTGCCTTTCCTCAAACATATCAAGATTAGCCTTCTCCTAGGGGAACCCTCCTACACTGTTGGTGGGAATGCAAGCTGGTGCAGCCACTCTGGAAAACAGTATGGAGGTTCCTCAAAAAGTTGAAAATAGAACTACCATATGATCCAGCAATTGCACTACTGGGTATTTACCCCAAAGATACAAATGTAGGGATCCAAAAGGGTACGTGCACCCCAATGTTTATAGCAGCAATGTCCACAATAGCCAAACTGTGGAAAGAGCCAAGAGTCCATTGACAGATGAATGGATAAAGATGTGGTATATATCTACAATGGAATATTATGCAGCCATCAAAAGGAATGAGATCTTGCCATTTGCAATGATGTGGATGGAATTGGAGGGTATTATGCTGAGCGAAATAAGTCAATCAGAGGAAGACATGTATCATATGACCTCACTGATATGAGGAATTCTTAATCTCAGGAAACGAGGGTTGCTGGAATGGTGGGGGGTGGGAGGGATGGGGTGGCTGGGTGATAGACATTGGGGAGGGTATGTGCTATGGTGAGCACTGTGAATTGTTTAAGACTGTTGTATCACAGACCTGTACCTCTGAAACAAATAATACATTATATGTTAAAAAAAAAAAAAAGAAGAAGAAGAAGAAGAAGAAGATAGTAGGAAGGGAAAAATGAAGGGGGGGAATCGGAGGGGGAGACAAACCAGGAGAGATTATGGACTCTGAGAAACAAACTGAGGGTTCTAGAGGGGAGGGGGATGGGGGATGGGTTGGCCTGGTGATGGGTATTAAAGAGGGCATGTTCTGCCTGGAGCACTGGGTGTTATACACAAACAATGAATCATGGAACACTACATCAAAAACTAATGATGTAATGTATGGTGATTAACATAACAAAATTAAAAATGTTAAAAAAATAAAGTGGCTTTATATGTCAAAAAAAAAGAGGTAGAGGTGATTAAGAGTATACTTATTGTGATGAGCACTGAGTAATGTACAGAAATGCTGAATCATTACATTGTACATCTGAAACTAATATAATGCTCTATGTTCATTATACTTCAATTTAAATTTAAATATAAATAAATAACAAAACTGGGGGGATTAATAAAGTGGATTTAAGTTAAAAATAGCCAACTCAGAATCAACCCATTCCCATCCACCCAAACATAGAGAGATTTTGATATCCTTGCCTAGAATGGTGAAGAAAGCCAATGAGACTTTTCTAACTTCTACTTCACATTAAAACCTAAAATACCAGTCAGAATGAACTTAGAAGCCATCGTGGAATCTTTTTGATGGATTTTTAAAATCATCATTATTTTCACCCGAACGAATTTCCAAAGTAATTTATATAAATCAAATGTAAAAATTTAAAGTGTAAACCTGTAGCTGAATATAACTATCCATAGGACAACTGAATTGAAACCAAATCATATGTGACATAAATAGCCCCAAATGAACTGGCAATCAGGGGAACTGTATCCACAGAGAACAATTAGCTGTCCAAACTCAGGCAAAGTGGTTCTCTTCGCTGCGTTTTAGTTGAGGAAATTAAGACTTTGGCAGACTTCACCAAGGACCTCAAATACACTGTTTCCTCTGACCTTAGCAGCCCCTGGGAGAGAGAGAGAAGTCTAATTGCTGAAGGAATCAACATCCTAAGAGGTCATAACCGGACACAGCAGAGCCTGGGGGAAGCTGGTCTTGGAGTCCTAACATAGGGCTCTTTCCTCCTGTGTGCTAGTGATCTCATTCTATTCTCTCCAACAGAGAGGAGTTGAACCATATAGACCACAAAAGAAGCGCTAGGAAGACACAGTCATAAAAAAACAGTTTTTCTTTTTGAGAAGCTCATAACCTCTTTTGGAGTTTAACTGTTCAATGATCCCACGAGAGTGAAAAATCTTTGGCAATCTTGCCCAACACAGGATTTACAGAGAGATTTCTCTCAAATAGGGAAAATAGAATCATGCAGAAGAAATAGCTTCTGACTTCTAAGACTGTTTTTTCTTTAGCAAATAATTGTTCGTGTCTTCCTTTCCCCATTTTTTGATTACCTACTATATACAGGCACTGAGCTCTATTCTCCACATGTATATTTTTATTTATTTCTCACAAAAACCCTACAGAGCATTTTCTACTATTATTCTGATTTTATAGGTAAATAGCGA